CCGGCTTGGCGGTGAGTCGTCAGCCGCAGGCAGCCGGCGCGACCTGGGGAGGGTGGACGCGAGGGAGGGGGAGGGGGTCCTCGGTCCCTTCCCGGGAGCCCGAGGCCGCGAGACTCGGGAGTGGGTGCACCCTGAACATTTCTGCGTGGGGGTCTGGCCTTAGGGACACTTTTTAGCGGTGCAGACCGCGTGTTCCCCAGTAGCGGGCAGTCCCCCTGAAGACCTGCCCCCCGGAGGGGTTGAGGGTCTTGGTTGGGATGATGGGAGCCTGTGTTATGGCCAAGAGGGGTCTGTGATGCGAAGGGCGAAGACCCTCCCGTCTTATCCAGCCTCCCTCTGGCCAGTCCATTCTGGTGTGGCCAGCAGGCAGGGACTGCCCTCTGCGAAGGTGTGAGCGCCTCTGTCTTTGAGTCCGTGCGTTTCTGTGTGTGAGTCTGTGTGTGGTATTTCCCCTCCACGGCGCTCAGAGCTGGGATCCGCCCTCTCTTCCCAGCTTTTTCTCTCCAGTTGTGCAGCTCCGCCACCCACTTGCACAGGGCTGGACCCTGAGTCCCTCTGGGCATGGGGTGCAGGGACCATGATTTTGGCCGGATGGGTCCTGGGTTGGGGTTCCAGAGAGCCTTGGCCCTTGAGGGTGTGAAGCCTAAGGGGGCAAAGAGGGGGCTTCCTCCCAGAAACCTGCTTGTCAGGTCCTTGGGAGTGGTAGGAACCGGAATGGGGGCTATGCCTGGGGCCCTAGAGTTCAAATAGAAAGTTAATTTGGGCAGGAGCTGGGCTGCTCTCAGTCCTGCTGCCCTCCTGCCTGCTCTATTAATACAGCTCCTGCTCTGCTGCCTGGCATCACTATTTATAGCTGACAGACAGCATGGCCACGCCCCCCTGTGTGGGAGAGGGGTGGGGGCAGGGACCCTATGGCTGTAGAGGCCAGGGTGGAGGGTCCTTGATGCCCAGAACCTCTCTAGGAGGGTCTAGCACTGCTGGGATGGATTCCACCAGACCCCCACCTCTTCCCCAGCCTGGTCTGTTTGGTCAGATTCCCCACCCCCAGCCCCACCCACTCCCCTCTCAACCTGGGTTGAGTGGGTCTGTCTAGACCTTGCAAACTCATCATTAATTAGCGTGTTAAATGGCTGAAAGGAAGGAGAGGGGCCTGGCAGCGCTCTTTCTGAAACAGCTGTGGTTGTAATTAGGTGGACGGTGTGGTTGACTATTATTTATTCCAGTTATGATTACTCTGGGATCAGCTACTCTGACTGGTGGCTTGGCAGGAAAGGCAAACCTCCCCCCTCTGCAGCCACCCATCAGCCTTTGGAATTGTTGGTGCTGCCTACCTGGGTGGGCCTGTGGGTGTGCCAGAGTAGTGGGAGGCTCTGTCCACTACGGTTACTCGGATGGGCTTCTCAGCCTGCTAGCCCTAACCTCTACCCAGTGTCAATGCCCAGGGTCCCAAGAAGAGGCTCCTGAGCTCAGTGGGGGGCCCGCCAGAGTACCCATGTGGCTTGGAATGCCCCATGCCCTTGCGGTCTGCCTGAGCTAAACTGTCTCAGCGTCGAGGAATGTAGACTTCCCTGCCAGTCTTAGCTCAGAATGGCATGAAGTTTGGGGCACCAAATGGCACCAGATTGGGGAGACAGGAGGCTAGACCCAGTGGTGTGGACAGATTGGAGGGGTAGGTGGGAGAGAGCTTGGGGGCTTTGGCCTGTCTCTGCTTAGCAGGCTCCTTCCAGCACCTGGCATGGCCAGGAGGTGGAATTCTGCCAGCCAGGGCTAGGCGCCTGTGGGCACACCTGCTGCTGTGCACACTCCTGCACCCCTGGCTATGTTTTCGGGCTCCCACTCACCCTCCCTCTTCCATGCACTCACACTCTCCAGGCAGGACTGGGCTTGAGACTCCTGCCTGGGACTGTGCTTGGCTGAAGCTGAGCCCAGCGGCCTCAGATTGGCTAGATTTTGGGGGAGACCAGGGAGCAGCCAGAGGGTCCTTTGCCAGAAGGAAAGAGAAGAGGATGGTGGTCGCTCCCTGTACTGTTAGAGAGGGTGGCAGTTTTCCTAAGGCCATGCAACAAGGAGTCAGGGATCCGGGCATGGTGGTGCAAACCTGTAATCCTAGCACTCTGGAGGCTGAGGCAGGAGGACCACTGAGTTCGAGGCCAGCCTAGGCTACATAGTGGGTTTGAGATCTGTCTGAACTACATGGTGAGACTCTGTCTTGAAAAACAAGAAGAAAAAAAAAATTCTGGGCCCCACACGAATCCGTGTTTTTGTCTTGTTCCCTATTTCAGAGGTTTTTTAAAAGCTTTTATGTTCAGTACTGATGACTGAATCCAGGGGTGCTGTACCACTAAGCTGTCTCTCACCCTTTTCAAACAAGGTCTCACTAAGTTATTTAGGTTGGCTTGGAACTCATGGAGATCCTCCTGCTTCAGCCTCCTAAGTAGCTGTGTCTAACCATACGTGGCTTCTCAGAGACTTTTTTTGTGGGACCCCAGAAGCTGCTCCCTCTCAAACTAACCCTTCTATGAAAGGGGCAATTAGAGGGATCATGGATACAGGCTGGGGTGGGGCGCCATGAGTATCTGTTCTCTGAAGAACTTTCTGCACTGACAAAGTACTTTCACACATACAGTAACCCTGCAAGTTCAGTGGTATCATTTAATTTTTCTGATGAGAGGATAAGACTCAAGAGGTGAAGTGACTTTACCCGAAGATCACACAACTGAGAAGAGTTAGGAGGAGGATGCAGTTCTTGGCACTTGCCCACCAGTGCTCTCTCCTCTCTGCCCTGGCTTTGGAGCCCTGGGGGACCCATCTCAGGGATTGGCATGGACAGGTGGGCACTGGGTGGACACTAAGCACAGGTGGGGATGGGTCTCTGGTACTGTGGGCTTGGGTGGCTTCAGCTCTGGCTGGCCCTTGAAAATGTTTGCTTTCTCTGCAGGCTGCATGTTGTGCCTGGGTCAGTCCACCTTCCTCCGCTTTAACCATCCTGCTGAAGCCAAGTGGATGAAAAGCATGATTCCAGGGGGTGGTCGGGCCACTGGATCCCCCTACAGCCCTGGCTCTGGTAGGTACCCAACTGAGGCAGGGGGTGGGTTGGCAGTACCCACTGTATAGTTCTTCTTGCCCATTGTGGCCACTCTTGGCGTGTTAGGACAGGACAATACCTGGTCTGGGCTCACTGCCACCTGCCATGGGCCAGTGGCAAATGCCAGGCCATGGAGCCACTGAGAGAGATACAAGGCAGTGCAGCTTGGCTGAAATTAGGAAATCATGTGCCTCAAGGGATAGAAGGTTCCGCCAGCCTGAGCCCTACTGCACTGGAAGATGTCATTCAGTGCTGTCCTGGAGGGTGACCTGAACCTTCCCTTGCAACCCAGTAACCTCTGATGGGTGCCACCTGCTGGTGATCACGTCCTTGGGCCCTCCCTGGCCCTCAGACCATGCTATGCCTGTTGATGACTCATTCAGAGGAGCAGCTGCAGCTTGTGTGTGAATTATTGATCCCTCGAGGAGAATTGGTGATTGTTCTAGGAACAGCCTGGCCCCCTCCCCCAGCCAGCTGCCTAGGGCATGGGGTGCAGATCAGGAGGCTACCACCCTAGACAGGGCTCCAGCTTTCAGATGGCCATGGGGCTGCAGCAGGTGGACGCATGTCAGGTATACCTGGTGGGTGGTTCTCAGTGGCCTAATTGTACAGTCTGGGGGCCTGAAGAAGAGTGAGTGGTACTGGAACCACTAGTACTCATGGCAGTCCCTCTGTGCTGATAGTCCTCATGACTTCGGACCAAATCAGTTTCGCAAAGGCTCTCCTGTCTTCTCCAGCCTCAGTATCTTGCAGTCCCCGGAGGCTCAGAAGCCTGAGTTCTCAGTCCATTCCCTAGTTAATTTTACTCTGTCCCCGCCTTGGCAAGCCTTCCCTTGGCTGTTCGGATAGTGGTTCCAGGGATTCCAAATTCCTGGTTGGTTGACAAGGGCTGGGCCCCAGCAAAGGCAGGCTCTTGCTGGCCTGGCTTACTGGGATAATTGGAGGCACTGAGCTGCACCTCATGGCCGGCCAGCTCGGCTTCCAGGAACCAACCTTTAGCCCTGGGTCCCTCCCCTGCCTCCGATTGGCCAGAACAGTGCAGCGCACACCCCCTGGCCCAGCCCCGCAGGCTTTGTTTTTTTCCCTGGGCTTCTGGCTGCTGATGCCCTATTCAAACAGGAGGCCCTGGACTTCTGGCCAGCTCCACAGTAGGTTCTCATTTCCTTTGCAAATGCCCACCTGTCATTCCTGGAAGAGAGGAATAGGAAGTTGGGGAAACCAAGGCAGGGAGGAGCCTAGTCTTGAGGTGAGTTGGCAACAACTGAGCTTGGTATTGTTTCTAACCCTGTCCTAAGTCATTAAATGTTAGAGGCAGGAGGGCCTGCGCATCATCTTTCATAAGGGGAAACTGGAGGCAAGGGACTTGACCACAGTTGCAGAGCAGGCCAGTGACAGAGATGTCATAGCTTCTCCAGAGCCTTTGCAGCCCTGAGGTGCTAGGAGCAGGTGAGATGCCGTCACTCTTGTACATACATGGCAAAGCCTCTTTGCTTTCCCCTCAGCCGAATCAGAAAGTCTGGTGAATGGGAACCACGCCCCACAGCCTGCAACCCGGGAACCCTCGGCTTGTGCCAGCCACAGTTCCCTGGTGAGCTCAATTGAGAAGGACTTGCAAGAAATCATGGATTCACTGGTGCTGGAGGAGCCTGTAGCTGCTGGCAAGAAGCCTGCTGCCACCTCCCCATTGTCGCCGATGGCTAATGGTGGACGATACCTGCTCTCCCCCCCAACCAGCCCTGGCGCTATGTCTGTGGGTTCCAGCTATGAGAACACCTCTCCAGCCTTCTCTCCGCTCTCCTCACCGGCCAGCAGTGGAAGCTGTGCCAGCCACTCACCTAGTGGGCAGGAGCCAGGACCTTCTGTGCCCCCACTTGTGCCTGCTCGTTCCTCCAGCTACCATCTAGCCCTGCAGCCCCCACAGTCCCGTCTGAGTGGTGTCCGCTCCTCAGACAGCCCCCGGCTGGGTAGGAAAGGGGGTCATGAGAGGCCTCCCAGCCCTGGTCTCCGGGGTTTGCTGACTGACAGTCCTGCAGCCACCGTCTTGGCGGAGGCCCGTAGGGCCACTGAGAGCCCCCGGCTAGGTGGGCAGCTGCCCGTTGTGGCTATTAGCCTGAGTGAATACCCAGCTTCTGGTGCCCGCAGCCAACCTACCAGCATTCCTGGCAGCCCCAAGTTCCAGCCTCCAGTCCCTGCTCCCCGCAACAAGATTGGCACACTCCAGGATCGCCCTCCCAGCCCTTTCTGTGAGCCTCCAGGCCCTGAGAGGGTATTGACAACCAGCCCCTCACGCCAGCTGGTAGGCCGAACATTTTCAGATGGATCTTCCACCCGAACCCTGCAGCCTCCTGAGAGCCCCCGCATGGGCCGGCGGGGCCTGGACAGTATGCGAGAACTCCCTCCCTTGAGTCCATCTCTGTCCAGACGCACTCTTTCTCCATTGCCTGCCCGGACCACCCCAGATCCCAAGCTAACCAGGGAAGTGGCAGAGAGCCCAAGGCCCCGCCGCTGGGCTGCCCATGGGACTTCACCAGAGGACTTCTCCCTGACACTCGGGGCGCGGGGCCGCAGGACACGGAGTCCCTCACCCACGTTGGGGGAGTCCCTGGCACCCCGCAAGGGTAGCTTTAGTGGTAGGCTGAGCCCAGCATACAGTCTGGGCTCTCTTACTGGGGCCTCGCCTCGCCAGAGCCCCCGGGCCCAGAGGAAGCTCTCTACTGGGGATTTGCGGGTTCCTGTCATGCGGGATCGGAAAAATAGCATCACAGAGATCAGTGACAATGAGGATGACCTCCTGGAGTACCACCGGCGGCAGCGCCAAGAGAGGCTTCGGGAGCAGGAGATGGAGAGGCTGGTGAGCAGATGCCAGGGAGGCTACTGTCCAAGGCAGGGTCTGTGCCAGGGCATGGGTAGGCCAGCTGGCAGAGGGGGAGGAGCCATTGGACAGGGCTAGGTCCCTCAACCATCTCCACTTTCATGGTGTACCTTGGTGACCAATCTCACATGGTCTGGTGCCCCAAAGGACTCTCCTTCATGTTTCTCAGGCTTTTATTTATTTTAATTAATTAATTAATTAATTAATTTTTGGTACCGGAGATTGAACTCAGGACCTTGCACTTGCAAGGCAGGTGGCAACACCACTGAGCTAAATCCCCAGCCCATCTCAGGTTTTATTTTAAAGTCTTGCTAATTTTGCATGCATTCTACAACATAGCATCAGATATGTACAGCTAAGTTTCACATTATTTATCTAAGCACAGTGAAGTTCTAGGAAAATATTACACATTCAGTTTGAGGAGCAGGTTGTAAGGATGAAAAGGCTGAGGCCCAGGAATAGAATTGGATTTGTCTAAGTCAGCGAATTGTGGCAGAGCTGGAATTGGAACCCAAGACCTCAGTCTTTCTGTTTGTGTCTAAGGCTTGTTCTTTAGAAAAGCTTCTGGTCCTTGTTTCTTCCTTCTCTTTGGCTTCTACAAAGAAGTGGGAACTGTCCCCCCTGGTCCTGGCAGGATCCTCTGTGTGTGTGGGTGGCAGGGAAGAGGGAAGGAACAGCGTGAGCAGCCTATGTGGCCTGTGTGATTGTGACCGTATGTGTCTGCATGCGTGTGTGTGTGTGTGTGTGTGTGTGTGGGTGTGTGCAGGGTCTGGGTGTGGCTCAGGGCAGCTGTCCTGGAGATGCCATCTGTGCTAGGTGGGGGCTGGGATTCCCCAGATCAGTGTGGGGATCTCCAGGGGCTCTGGCTGGTGTACCCATGCTTGAGCCACATACAGGAAGAAGGATTCTGCCCTCCTGTGAGAGCAGAAGGTGTGTGTGTGTGTGTGTGTGTGTGGGTGTGTGCAGGGTCTGGGTGTGGCTCAGGGCAGCTGTCCTGGAGATGCCATCTGTGCTAGGTGGGGGCTGGGATTCCCCAGATCAGTGTGGGGATCTCCAGGGGCTCTGGCTGGTGTACCCATGCTTGAGCCACATACAGGAAGAAGGATTCTGCCCTCCTGTGAGAGCAGAAGTACAGGGTTCTGGGATTGGTTTGAGGAGGCCATAACATGGGAGACTTCCTAGAGACCTTTGGGGAGAGGCTGGTCAGTTCAGGTGAGGAAGGTCCCCAGTCCTTTCCTTCCCTGTGCCTTGGCCTCCCCTGAATTCTTGGCTGCCCTGGAGTCTCATCCTGAATGGGGTAGTGAGCCTGGCATAAGCAGTGTGCCAGGCCCAGCAGTCCTCCACTCCTCCAGGCTCCCCGCCCCCATGCTCACACACAAGCACACACCCACCACCAGCCCTGACTTGCCCCACCTGCCATTTTAAACCTGCTGTGCCCCTCCCACCTGAACCAGGCTGTTATCTGGGCCCTAGGGCTGGGGCGGGGCACTGGCCCAGCCTCCTAGGTGCTGAGGCTTGGTTCCTGGACTTTTCGCAATGGAATTGGGTGAGCAGCGGAAGGGAAGCTGGGTAAGTGTTGGGACTGGGGAGTCAGAGCCAAGCTGTAGGTGGTGGGTGAGAGACACTTGACACCCCCAGGAGGTCATGGAGGTTCAGAGGCTGGGACACAGGGCTAGGGTATTATGAATGGGAGAGTGGCACAGAGACCAGGAACAGAACTGGGCCATTGGTCTTTCCCTCCTAGGCCCCTGAGAGGTGACTGTTTCTGGGTGGAAGTGTGTAGAGGGAGGGTAGATTCAGTGCCAGGGCCCTAGAGCACTCACTCCTGGACCTGGCCCTTCAGAGACTAGCAGCAGCCCTCCCTGCTGGTAAGCAGCCAAGGGTTGCCTGCTGGAGACTTGGAGCTGAAGTAGGATAAGGAGGACCGTGATCCACTCCTGTTCTCGTCTGTGTGTGTCTGGACCCGTGGGTCTGTGGGTCTGCTTCCCAGGCCTGTCTGATGCTGTGGGTGCCCACCTGGCTGTATGCAGACTGTGTTTATCTGTGTGAGTGTGCATTTGTGCATGTCAGGGCTGGTGTCTGTGTGTGTGCCTGCCTGTTACTGCAGGGCCAGTGCACATGTTGTGTCCACATGTACCTGTGTGTCACACCAGTGTGCCAGTGTGCCCTTGTGTCTGTAGCTCTGTGTGTCCCTGTCAACACGAGCACCTGAGTTGATCTTTGTCTCATCATTCAATCTGCCTACCTGTGTGTGTTCCGTGTGTGTTTGGGTGTGTCCTTGTGTGACCACAAGGAAGCCCCATCCTGGGACAGAAGGAGAAGGGAAAGGAAACAGGAAGGTGGGAGGAACGGGCCAGTTGGACAGGTGGCACACAGCCTGGTTCCTCCACCACTTCTGGAGCACCCTTCTTCTACGGGAATGCTCTGCCTCCCATAGATCCTAGGGTTGGGGTTCTCCTGACTTGGTTCTGAATCCCAGGCCCCTAGTGTCCTAGCTAGCCCTCCCAACAGGAAACAGCCTGGCTCTGGCTGCCTCAGGGCTGGGCCTTCTCCCACTCATGCCCACTCTGTCCACCCTCCCCAGGAACGCCAGCGCCTGGAGACCATCCTGAACCTGTGTGCTGAGTATAGCCGGGCTGATGGGGGATCTGAGGCCGGGGAACTGCCCAGTATCGGGGAGGCCACTGCTGCATTGGCACTGGCAGTCAGGAGGCCCTCACGAGGCCTTGCAGGGGCCATTGTATCCTCCGGGCGGGGCAGCGAGGAGCCTGGAGGTGCCACCCAACGCCTGTGGGAGAGTGTGGAGCGCTCAGATGAGGAAAATCTGAAGGAGGAGTGCAGTAGTACAGAGAGCACCCAGCAGGAGGTGGGTGCACTGGGAGCAGGGTGAGGGGTGGGGCTGGGGCTGGCTGGACAAACCTTGGGACACCGAGGCTGGTGTGAATGCCAGGGCACTGTGAGGGCAAAGTAATGGAAGGATTGAGCTTGGGAAGACACCAGAAACTAGAGGTGGAAAAATGAGGCGGCAAGGAAGAGAAGGGAGGTGGCAAGGACTTTCCCAGGCTATAAATATGCTTTACGACTTGCCTTTCCTTGGGGCTGCACCCAGGCCTAGCCCGCTGGTAAATTTTTATTCCCCATGGCTGATCCTGTATTACTTCCCTGGAAAGGAGGGGATTAGCCCCCTGTCTCAGCCCATCTACCCCTTCCATATGCCTTGAGGAATGGGTAATTTGATCTCTCAGTCTGATCGTGGGAGCTAGGCATCCCCCACTGATGGCTCTTTTCCCCTACAGCATGAAGATGTACCCAGCACCAAGCTCCAGGGAGAGATCCTGTCCCTGGAAGAGGAGCGGGCTCAGGTGCTGGGCCGTGTGGAGCAGCTCAAGGTCCGAGTGAAGGAGCTGGAGCAGCAGCTGCAGGAGGCGGCCAGAGAGGTGAGCAGGCTTTGAGAGCTCTATCCCTAGACGGGGACCTGGGTTCATTGTCTTGATGGGAACCTTGGTGTCTGCCTGCAGGCTGAAATGGAGCGGGCGCTGCTGCAGGGGGAGAGGGAAGCCGAGCGGGCGCTGCTGCAGAAGGAGCAGAAGGCAGTGGACCAGATGCAGGAGAAGCTGGTGGCCTTGGAAACAGGCATCCAGAAGGAGAGAGACAAGGTAACCCACTCTTGCCCAGCCCAGTGCTGGGTACCATTGGCTCAGGAGAGAAGGAAAAATGCCCTCCCTGGGGCCCTGGACCCGTCCACTTCACCTCATCATCCGTCCTGTGTACTGGGTAGTCTCTGTGGCCCTTCAGGGACAGAGGGCCTTGTCCTCTGTGGAAGGTACCAGTTTGGAAGGTGCTGCTAGGGGCTGGGCTGGTGTTTGGGGTCTTCTCTGGGTCTCTGCTACCTCTGGATGCCTGGGTACCTGCCATTCTGGTCCTTTATGGTCCTTCCAGGAAGTGCCAAGGCCCCTTCTTTAGGCAGTGAGCACTGCCTGAGGTTTCAGGGCGTGGGGTGATTCATGTTTGGGTCCTGCCATCTGAAGAACATCTTCAAGCATGCCTCAGGTGCTTAGGATGTGGTCTTTGGGAGATGGCCTGCAGGCCTCTGCTTCCCCTGTCTTCAGGATCTGCAGCCTCCCATCCCAGATGGTCCCAGCTCCTGCCCCTGCCCCTTTCAGATTTCGTGCCAGCCTGCAGGGGCTGCTCCGTTCCAAGGGGCTGTGCCAGCCATGCCCAAGATGACCAACAGCGTGCCAAAAGCTCTGACGTGGAGAGGGGTCATCTATTCTGGATCTGACAGAATTTTTCTAAGAATTTAATTTTCCTGTTGGATTTTTGAGACCATCTTCCTCTTGCCCTCAATTTTGATGACCTTAAAACTTTTCTGACCCTGGTTTTTTTTTTTGGAGCTTTGGCTCTGGCCCCCAAAACCACACTCCCAAATTCTGTGCCAAAATAACTCCATGCTTGTCAACCAGGCCTGCACTAACGCCCCCTCTAATCACTGTCATGGGCGCTCTGCATGCCCTAACTGCCAGGCCACCCAGGCAGGGCTGAGCCATGCCTGCTTTTGCACTAACTTCGTGCCCCTGGCCTTTCCCCTCTAATGTTACCTCCTTTTCTTGTTGTGGGACCCCATAGTTTCGATCAGAAAGGAGCTGGCAGGAGGGCATAGCTAAACTTTGTTTAATGGGCCACTGACTGGCAGGCAGGGTATAAGAATGAAGGAAATGCTTGGCAGAAGAGCTGTTCAGCCCGAATAGCTCTTCTCCCTGGAAAGGCCTGGTCTATTGCCTACGGCGTAGTTGGCAGCTTCCTTCCAGGTAGGGGCAAGCAGGTTATATTGCCCCCCTCCCCTGCCTACCCTTTGGAGCTGCTGATAAGGAGGTCCTCTTTCTGGCATGGCCTTGGAGGTCTTGGACAGGGCCTCTCTGCTAACTCAGTGGCATCTAGCTTTCCCGATTCAGCTACCCCAAGTAGAGGGGAGAATGGTGGCTTCTCATCCCTCCGTCCACTATGGAGGCCGCTGAGTACAAGGTTGGGGAAGTGCCTGAACCTCAGCAACTGGCTTGATCAGGGCCTTCCCTCTGGGGATGGGTAGGTGGGTGGAGGGGAGGGGTGGGTGAGCCGGGCAGGTACAGCACAGGGGCTTGCTCCCAGGGCTAAAACTCAGCATTTCGCAAGGAGCCTGCCCTCCTCACTTCTCACTGACCTGGGGATGCTTGGAGGCCTGGGCTTTGTCTTTCCTCTGGGCCCAGTTGTTTGAGGTTGTAGCGGTGGAAGTGGTGGTGATAAACAGTGGTAGTGATGTTGACAGTTCACTGGGTTTCCTGTCCCAGCCCCCAGCCTGTGGCCCCATTCTGGCTTTGGAATCAGTAATAACCATTTCTCCTCTGCCTGTCCTTGGGAGGGGTGACTCACCAATTCCTCCCCTCTTCCCCTTTCCCGCCCTCAGAGGTGTCATCTCGCTCCAGACAGAGCCACCCACCCCTCCTCTGTACCCACTCCTGGGGCTCCTATTACCATGGCAATGGCTGAACTAATTGCAACCCTCATCCCTACTCAAATTCAGCCAGCAGTGCCAGCACCCTACCCCCAACCTGGGCAGGAGGGGAGGGAGGCTAGGAGTCGGCTGAGGTTGCGTAGCTGTGGCTCTAACATTCACACCCCACCTCTGGACTTACACCTTACCATCAAGTCCTGTCTCTCCAGGGTTAATTTTGGTCTCTGGGCAGTGGTAGATGTGAGCTTCCACTTTTGCCATGTGTCACCAGCTTTGGCCTCTGCGAGTTTGGAGAGGAAGCAGAAGGTCTTGTATTAATTAGGACCTTCCCAAACATTTCTGGTTCTAGGGACATAAGAGACCACAATTTACCCTCTTTCCCCAACCCTGCCTGTGTAACAGGTCCCCGTGCCTGCCTTACACCTCTGCTCCTGGCCTCTCTCCCTGTCGGGCCTTTCCTTCTCCACTCTTCTTCCTCTCTGGCCTGCTCCTCTGACACCAGGCCTGTCCCGCGTCTCTGCGCCGCGCCCTCCGCCTCGGGCCAGAGTTGAGGAGTGTGTGTTCTCTCTCCCCTGTGCCCCGCCTCCCTCCCCTCCCGCCGACCAGGAGAGGGCGGAGCTGGCCGCGGGACGGAGGCACCTGGAGGCCCGCCAGGCGCTCTACGCCGAGCTCCAGACGCAGCTCGATAACTGCCCCGAGTCAGTGCGGGAACAGTTACAGGAGCAGCTGAGAAGGGTCAGTTCCAGCCCCTCCCCCGGCCCCCGAGGGCCACCCACCCCGACCGAGGAGAACCGCCCGGCCCCTGCAGTGCCTGCTGGACACCAGGGTCGGTGCTGTGGCTTGGAGGGGACAGGCGAGGTTGGGGGGAACCAGCGCTCCAGGCTGTGATGCCGGCGAAAGGGGCCCAGTGGAGCACTGCAGAGGGAGTCGGGAGGGGACAGGTTCCTTACCCAGGTTCCCAGGGCCGGGTCAAACCCCTACCACTCCCATCTCTGGGGCCTGGCCTTCAGGGCCCAGAGTGGCAGGGTGAGCACCACCCAACTCTGCGATATTACTGTCGTTGAAGGAGGCAGAAGCCCTAGAGACTGAGACAAAGCTCTTCGAGGACTTGGAGTTTCAGCAGCTCGAGCAGGAGAGCCGTGCAGAGGAGGAGCGAGAGCTGGCCGGCCAGGGGCTGCTGCGGAGCAAGGCGGAACTGCTGCGCAGCATCGCCACGAGGAAGGTGGGCGGCCACGTCTGCCCCCGGGCTCAAGAGCAGAGCTGACTTCACCTTTTGTGCCTTCATTTCCTGGTCTGTAAAGCCAGAACTACAGCAGGCCATTGTGAGCATCAGCGTGTAAGGCAGGATGGAATGGGTGATGACAGAAAGCACTCAGCAAAGGGTAGCTGCCAGGACACCATTCTCAGTCCTCTAGTTTATAGCTCTGCCAGGCCAGGGCTGAACCAAGGCTGGAACCCAGGTGGATGCCTTTCCTTGGACCCCCAGTTGAATATGGCATCCTGGCCCTAAACCTAACCCTAAAGGGTAGCTAGTATTAGTGCCCTTGGGTCCCCTCAGTTTTCCAGTGGAAAGTGGAGTTGGCTCCCTTTCAGAGCTGGGCACTGGCTGAGCAGGAAATGAAAAAAAACAAAACCCACCTCAGCCGGGGTGTGTGTGTGTGTGTGTGTGTGTGTGCTGGGGATTGAACCCAGGGCCTCCTCCCCACTGAGCACGTGCTCTACCACTGAGCTACACCCCCAGTTGTGCCTCTGTCCTTACAGAGCTCTGTCTAATGGAAGTGCCCGACTACAGAGACCTAGAGCTGGCCAGGAGTCTGAGGAAGGGACCCACCTGGGTTCCAGCCTTGGTTCAACCATGGCACGGCTGAGCTATAAACAAGAGGATCGAGTATGATGTCCTGGAAGGCTTTGGTGTGCTAATACTGTGATTGCTTCTGATCTCAGCCACACCAGGCACTGCTGTATGATGGGCCAGGTCTGTATATGTCAGGAGGAGGCAGGGAAGGATGGCCCAGGAGGCTCTTGTACCTGTGGCTAAGGCTTGAGCTCTTGTATCCATGTGTGTGTGTGTGTGCAGTATGCCCGTCTGAAGTATGTGCAAGGCGAGGACAGTGTGATCGGGGAGCAGTGTCCCAAAGCAGTGAGTCAAGGGAGCTGCTGGACCACCCAAGTCCAGGTCCCTTGCTTCTCTCTCTGAGTTACTGTACCTTACAAATGCATACAGTTTTCTTTTTTATTTTGAGTGTGTGCCAGGTTCCCTACCAGGAGGCTGCTTGGGTCATCTCATGTCCTTAGGGTGGTTTCAAAAGGTAGGCACTCTTGTCTGCATCTTATAGGGAGAAAGACAAGGGCTCAGAGAAGCTGCACATTTACTGAAGCCTTCCAAGCTATCAACTTAGAGCCAGGCCTGCCTGGGCTCAAAGCCTGTGGTCCTTCCACTGTGCTGTGTGAGGTACAGAAGCTAGCATTTCTTTGGTCTATTCTGTTTTCCTTCTGGGGGATATGTAGCAAGGAGCCTTGAGATCACCTATTCCTATCTCTTTGAGGTCCTGTAGGCCATAAGTACCAGGAAGTTTGGGAGGGGTCAGTGGTATGGACTCCATTTCTTTCCTCTCCATGCTCACTCTAACCTCTGGGAAACAAGCACAGCACTGAGATCTGGGGGTGGGGGTTCATATTCTCCCTCATGCTCCTCCCTGTGCCCAGCCTTACCCCACACCCCAGGCTCTGCCTGCCCTAGAACCCTGTGACCCTCTGTCTACTCTGGTTCAAAGTGGTTGGGAATACTAGCCCTGGAATCCAACAGATCTGGTTCTAGTCCCAGCTCTGCCACTTGCTAGCCGAGATCTTAACTCCTAAATGTAGGAGCTAAGTTCAGTGTTCTCACCTATGAAATGGGCACTAAAGGCATGTCCTCATAAGATTAAATGAAATGAATGCCAAATGTCCAGCAGAGTTCCTGACTCCTGGGTTCTGTGGACGTGGTGGCTCTTGCTGTGAGGGTTACTGCCCAACCTGCTTCTTTTCTTGGGCTGACTCCAGGTTTAGCACAGCTTCTTTCTTCATGCATTCTTCTCCCACCACTTTGGGACACAGCTCCCCTGATCTCTCCGTCCTTGCCTTGCTCACACTCCGGACAGGTAAATGGCACAGGAGCCTTGCGCACAGAAAAGCTCAAACCTTAGCCCCAGGGAGAATGCATTACGCATTCCTCTCTGAGGAATCTCATTCCTCAGAGGGATGGTTTAGACCATCTCTCTCAAAGCCTTCCTGGTACTAACCCTGCTCATATTCCCTAGCGCTTATCCACTCTCACTTAGTATCTTTCTATTCCCTTTTAGCAGATGATGGCTGAGCCAGGCACTGTGCTAAATCCTGTTGTCCTGCCCTGGGATCTTATATTTGGGATGAGGTGGCGGTGGGTGGTAGAGATACATATTGACAGATAACAATAAGACAAGGGACATGGTGATGTAGAATAATAGGGGCACAGAGGAAGGAGCAGATTGAGGAACAATCAAAGTGGCTTTGGGAAGTAAGTAGCATTTGATACATAGTCTTGGAGGCTGACAGGCTCAGGATAGGTGCAGAGGCCTGAGAGAACCCCTGAACTGAGAGACAGAGGGTGGCTTGAAGCACACAGCTGCACAGCTGAGTTACAGCATGGCTGCACCCAGGGTACCTGGAGGACTGAGCAGGCGAAGGGTAGAACCAGTTCCTGAAGCCGTTGGGTGCTGGGTAGGAAGTTCGTGCTTTATCCTGTGTGTAACAAGGAGCCATGCATTCCTGTAGTTCCAGCACTTAGGAAGCTGAGGCAAGAGGATCACCAAGAGTTTGAGGCCAGCCTGGGCCACATAGTGAGTCCCTGTCTCAAAAACAGAACAGTACCAAAAATGAGTGAAAAGGCTAGAGATGTAGGTCAGTACGAAGGCCTTGGGTTTAATCTCCAGTAACTAACACATACACACACAAACATGCACGCACGCACACACATGGTGCAAAAGAGAGAAAAAAGCTAGATACGGTGGTGTACACCTGCAGCCCTGGCTTCTCTGAGCAGAAGGATTGCTTGAACTCAGGAGTTCAAGTTCAGCTCAGGCAACATAGGGAGACCCTGTCTCAAAAACAAAGTTACTCAAGTAGTGTGTATTATATTTAGGAAGATTAGACAATTCAGATAAGCAAACACAGCTCAAAAGCCTTTTCAAGGAGATATTTTGTGGCAGTGTGGAGTGGATCAGAAAGCTGGAAGAGCAGCAGCAGCAGGCTGATGAGAAGCGCAGCTGGGAAAGCAGAGGGCCTGGTGGCAGTAGTGGGGGACAGGGCAGGTGGAGAGGGGTTCATTGTCTCCAGGCATTGGGGCCCATTTGCTGTGAAGTGCAGAAAGGTGGATTTGAAGATTGGGTTCTCGCTAGTTTGCCTGGTGGCCCGGGGGTCACTGGTTGAGGGGGTGGGGGAGAGGCAAGAGAAGGAGCTGACCAGGGTACTCTGAGTTTTCCTGGGGTGAGTTGAGGGCAAGCAGAAGAGCTGGTTGAGTCCGTTCACCAGAGTGGGGACTCTGGGCAGGAGAGTCAGTTGGGTCTCACCTGGGGCTCCACCCCATATCCCCTCGGCCTCACCGAACACACCTCACCCATCTCTTCAGGAGCGCCTGGCCATCCTGGACAGTCAGGCTGGGCAGATCCGGGCCCAGGCCGTTCAGGAGTCGGAGCACCTGGCCAGGGACAAGAATGCCTCCCTGCAGCTACTGCAGAAGGTACCCACCTCAGGTTGGGCAGGGACTGGGTGGGGTAGGTTGAAGGGTGTGCAGAAGGGCTGGGATGGGGATTTCCCAGTATGGGGACACATAGGGGCTCTTCCCTTACCCTTGTCCCACTTCTCCCTGACTTGACCACTCTGGGCTTCCAGGAGAAGGAGAAGCTGACTGTGCTGGAAAGGAGATACCACACACTCACAGGAGGCAGGCCTTTCCCAAAGACCACCGTGACCCTCAAAGAGGTAACAATTGGGTCAGCCCCAGCTTCAGGCCCAAGAGAGCAACCTGTGCCCCCTTTACCCCAGTGGCTGAGGTAGAGGGTGGAGGGATTACCCTAAACTGGAGAGATGTGAGGAGGAATGGCCCTGGGGTCTGAGATTTAAACCTCCCTGGGTAGCAGGTGCTTCTCAGTTGCTTTGTGGGCTCTTAGGAGCCCATTGATCTCACTCATTGGGCAACTAGATATATGCGAGGGGCTCATGGGCTCTGGGTGGGGAAGGCAGACAGCTCAGAGGTTTGGTAGGGGACAGGGCTGAGTGGACTCACCTTGAGGGGCAGCACAGAGATCTTAAGGATTGTGATCTTGGAGTTCTGGGCTTCCATCTGAAGCTAGGCTCTTGGCTCAGAAGTGGGCATTGAGGCCGCTAAGCAGTTCTTTTCCAAGTCTGCACACCTGATGTGTGAGGCTTAATTATGACAAACTTGGTTTTCTGACTTCTTTATCCCCTCCCTGTGTCACTGTACAAGTGATCAGGCCTGGGACGGGTGGCTGGGCTGAGTGTGAGAAGTGAGTCCCTTCACCATGTACCCTCTCTGTAGGCCCAGCTGCTCACCTCCAAGTCCTCAGAAATGGGGTTGGGGACCAAGGCTCTGGGTCCATTCTCAGGGTCTTCTCAGGCTGGGGGCTCCTCTGTCTCCTTAACCCCACCTGCTTCCACTCCGCTCTGCCCCAAAGCACAAGAGGTAATCATAGTTAACTGTGTGATCTGCTTTGCTGGCTGCCTATTGGCCTGCCCACTGAGCTCCTGCCTGTAGCTTCCCAGGGCCCAGCTTAAGAAGGGCATGTGGTGATAACCGTTTGCTGGGCAGAGTTTGGTGGCATTTGTGTGAGTGTGCCATTTTGCCATCCATAGGGTGCCTGGGCAGCCCATGCCAAATCAGGTTTGCATGTGTTTTGCATGTCATTCACCAGTTCGCACAACACACTGGACCTTCTGGCTCATTTTCATTTCCCATGACCCTCAGTGGCCAGGGTGGCCCTGTAGTTAGGCCCTGGATAAGGCAGGCTTAGGGTCCATTGCTGGGATTCAGATGCCCTGGATAAGGCAGGCTTAGGGTCCACTGCTGGGATTCAGCACACATTGTGGATCTGTGCCATGCCCAACACCTAGACAAGCTCACATTCTAAGGATATGTGATGGGTTTGACACTCCTATCCTCCCACCCACAATCCGGTGTGCTGGCATCTTTCCAAGTGCTTACCCTGGCCAGTGGGCCCATTTTCCTGCCATAGCTTTTAGCTGCTCTCTGCTAAGTGCCTTTCTCAGTACTTATGTTGCTCAGGCCCTGAGGTGTCCCCATCTCTCCCCACCTGTTTCCAGCTCCTGCTCTCATGAGTGGGGTGGGAGAGGCCCCTGGGGAATGGTGTAACTGATGATCCATCGTGCATGTGTGTGCCCTGGGGATACCCGGATGCTGGAGACAGTTGGACTTGCTAGGAGCTGGGTTCTGTGCTTCAGTGGGCTCTTAGAAGGCCTTCCTGGGCTTCTTTACCTGTCCCCAGTCCAGGGCCAGTCCAGGCGTGGGCTTCTATAATCTGCTCGGGGCATCAATAAAATGCCACAGTGGTGTCAGGCGGAGCTGTCAGCAGTCAGTTCTGTCCACCCTGTTCAGTTCCCCTGCTCTCACAGATGACTGGCTGAGAGGGCAGCCGAGCACCTACCCCTGCTCGGGATTGTGTGCTGACATAACGTGTCTGGCATGGAGTGTGGGGTGTCTGGTACCAGGTTGAACCTCGTTAATCTCTTCTCTGCTCCCCCTACCCTGGGATCCCTAGGAATATGTGAGCCTGGCAGAGGTTCTCCAGCTGTGCTCTCGCTTGGACCCCTATGCTTCTGCCACCTCCCCCAGCGTGCTCACCCAGCCCCTGCCTGACAGTGAGGTACCAGCCGCTGAGTATGGATGCCCTCCATTGCGCCAGGGGCCTGGGTGGGGGTGGGGCAACAGCAGGGTCAGTCTTCAGCAGTGAGAGAGAAGGGCAGCTGGCCAGGGGCGTTAAGCGCGTTTCCCTTTCTTCCCAAAGCCTCGGGAGCTGTCCTCAGGTCTTGATGGCTCGGGGAAGGGCAGGCCTCTAGGAAAAGAGCATCATGCTGGGAGGACTTCGGCTCTCCAGGCTGGCCTCTGCTCTCTGCTTCCTACTCTTTTCCTCCCTTGTGGGCAGGGCAATGTCTTGGGTTGCAGTCCCATTAACCTCTTGTGTTCCCTCCTACGCCTGGCCTTCCCCCAAGTACGTGACGCTTGAGCAGCTAAAGGTGATGTGGGGCACCTCACCCATGCCCCCCGCCCCCACGCCAGGCTGGCCTCCCTGGGCCTCTGCCTCCCGGGACCTGGTTCCCACCACCTGCCTTCCTCCTGTGCCGCCCTCCTCCTCCTTCGCTTCCATCACGCCTTCGCCCAAGGTTGGTGGTCTGTGTGTTCTTGCCACCCCTGTGGCAGGTGCGGCTGTCTGTGTGTGTTTGGCCCTGGCTCACAGGCCTCTTGGCTCCGGCCAGCCCGAGGGGCATGCTGGGTGCCTGCAGGCTCTGGCTGGCTGGCGTAGTGTGAGTCTGTGCTCTGGGAGTTGCACCGTGACTGTTCCTCTGCCTGTATCACATTCCGGACCACTGTCATCTCACTGTTTTTCTCTTCCTTCTCTTTGTTACTCTCCTTCCTCCCGCTTTGCCTTCCCTTCTTCCCCTTACCTTCCTGTCCATTTCCCTGGCACGGTCTTCCTTTCCCTCTCCACGACCCCCGTTCCTTCTTCTTCCTCCCATCTCTTTGCCCTCCCTGTCCTGGCCCTTCCTCTCTATCCTTGCCCTCTCCCAGCCCCTGCAGATGGAGAAGCTGCTGCCCCCTGCTGTAGATTTAGAGCAGTGGTACCAGGAGCTGATGGCCGGGCTGGGGACGAGCCCTGCTGCAGCCTCCCCTCGCTCTTCCCCTCCACCTCTGCCTGCCAAAGCTTCCCGTCAGCTGCAGGTAACCTCTTCCCTGCCAGTTCTTTCCAGGTCTGCTTCTGTCTGTACGTCCTGCCGTCCCCTCAGCCACATTGTACACTATGCGTAATCAGCTCAGCACAGCAAGAAGGGGCCTTTGGGCCTGGAAGGGGCGCTGAGGGTCTCTCCATGGGCAGTCATCCTGGGGCAGCTGCAGGGCCATTTTCTTGTGTCCAAGGAGGTTGGTGGAAGGGGTTCTCCCCAGAGGTCACCTAGGTGAGGGCTGGACACACTCATGGATGTGTAATTTGTTCTCCTGGTCTTCCCAAGGGTGGTACTTGGAGGCAGAAAAGAGGAGGACAGAAACTCTGAAGTGACAGCCCTGGAGACACCCATCTCCTGGGAGTAGTCATGGAGGCTGTGGGCCCAGCTGCTGACCATGGTCGGGGAAGGGTACTTAATAGTCTCTGGTTTTACTCCACTGACATGCTGTGGTGCCTACGATTCAACCATTTAAGAGTCTTTTTTTGTTTTGTTTTGTTTTTTTGTTTTTGTTTATTGAGACAGGGTCTCACTATGTAGTTGAGACTGACCTGGAACTCACTATGTAGCCCAGGCTGGTTTTGAACTCACAGCGATCCTCCTGCCTCAGCCTCCCGAGTGCTGGGATTACAGGAGTGTGCCACAACGCCCGGCTGAGAGTCATTTTTGAGTGAAGGTGCTGCACCTATAAGGCTGTGACCTCAACTACAATTCCACATTCCCTTTGGGAAGAGTTTGATTCATATAACTTCTGTGTGCCCAGCTGGCTGGAGACTTTGTCATATTTTGATTCATTTAATCAGCACCAAAGGCCTTTGAGGTAGATGATGTTAACTCTCATTTTACAGATCAAACACTGGGGCATGGAGCAGATAAGAAATCTTGCCAGGGCCACGTAGCTATGAAGGAAGTAGCAGAACTTATGTGGAGAGCCAGGGCTCTTGACTCCAAAGACCATGTTTACTGTATGTCAGTGCTTTGAGGGAATTTGGCAGTGGTTGGATCTAGTCCTGCCTTTCCCTTTGCATACAAGGAAGCGGAGGCCCAGAGTGGGGAGATGAATGGTCCAAGGTTACACAGCCTATTAGTGGTGCAGCTGGGACCAGAAAGAACCTGGCTCCTACTTGTTCTCCTGCATAGCTCTTAACTCCTAACTGGTGCAGGTTAGTTTACAAGTCCTTCTCAGATCCAGGATCAGGTCAGGATTGGGCTAGAGAGCAAGAACCTGCAGAAGAAACTTAGTAGCTGGCAGTAGCAAGTGCCCATTGGGTAGCCCAGGAGACTTAACCCACTTGGCACCTGGAGCCCGAAGGCCTCAGAGGCCTGGTACTAAGGTAGAGGACATGGAGGTGACTGCTAGTGGGGAAGCCAGAGCTCACCAGGCTGTGCCTCTTCCCTCCAGGTTTACCACCCCAAGATGGATGGTGAAGCCACAAGCCCACTGCCCCGGACCCGCAGCGGCCCACTCCCCTCCTCATCTGGCTCCTCTTCCTCCTCCTCCCAGCTCAGCGTGGCTACCCTGGGTCGAAGCCCGTCCCCAAAGGTCTGAGGACCGAGTGGTGGGGGAATGGAGACTGCCGTCCTGGGGCAAGGCCGGGGCTGCCCTACAGGCTGTGGGGTGAGGCGGGGCGGGCTGAGCCATGGTACCGATCTCTGTTCCCTCTGCAGAGTGCCCTGCTCGCCCAGAATAGCACGGGCAGCCTTCCTCGCAACCTGGCAGCCACACTACAGGACATTGAGACCAAGCGCCAGTTGGCCCTGCAGCAGAAGGGTGAGTGGCTGCACTGCCAGCCCCGCTGTGCCCTGAGGGACCTCCCACGCCGTTCACAGGATGTTTTTCTTTTAATTGGGATCTGAGTGAGGGGAAAGTATTGTGGTTGGACCCCGAAAGAAGAGCTTCCTGGATATTTATCAAAAGACTTGGAACGGGGACTCAGGGCCTGGGGGGCTATGACATCTTTTCTAGAGAGGCCAGCCAATATGGGAAGTGTCTGTTGACCTGAGCAGGCCTAGTTGTTGGATGGATTTAATGACTTCCAGAAATAGTTCCCGGAGACCTTGGCTCTGGGAACCCAGCAGTCCTGTTGTTGAGTGTGTTTGGGTTGCTTTAAAAGCCCATGTCTGTGCCTCTCTCTCCTCTTATTCCCTCTGTGACTCTCTCCCATACCCTCTGTCTGGGGCTACCCACACCAGTCGAGTTGCTTCCTGCCGAGCCCCTCTCAACCGACGACCCAGCAGGTAGAGCGTGGGTCACCGAGGGCATTGCTTTGGCCAGGCAACCCTGCCCCGGCACCAGCATGATGTGTCCTGCCCAGGTCCCGAGTAGGTTCCTGGGCTGAGCGGGGCTGGGGTGCCTGAGGCTCCACCCCTCCAGCTTACCTCCCTGCTGCTGTCAGCTATGCTGCCTGCCTCCCTGCCTTCTTTCCTGCTCCCTGCTCTTGCTTCTGCATTGTGGGAGTGTCTGTGTTGGCACCCTGGGCTTGTGGGGCTCCTGCCATCTCCCCCTCCCTCCAGCAGGCAGGTGGGTACATGTGTCCCGCTAACCTGTTCAGGCTTCCACTGTGAGCTGGAGCCAGGTGCCCTGCAGAAAGAGCACTGCACCAGACCATGTGCCATGGCCACTTGGGCAGGTGACTGGAGCCATGGCGGGGCTGCAGGTCTGGAGCTGGGTGTGTTAACCTGACCCTGCTCGCTTCCTCCCCTGCCTTGGCTGGGTGGGAGCACCCTGTGACTCCCACCTGTTCCTCCTACAGGGCAGCAGGTCATTGAGGAGCAGCGGCGGCGGCTGGCTGAGCTGAAGCAGAAGGCGGCGGCCGAGGCACAGTGCCAGTGGGATGCGCTGCACGGGGCGGCCCCCTTCCCCGCCCTTATGCACCACTCCATCCTGCACCACCTGCCGGCTGGGCGAGAGCGAGGGGAGGAGGGCGAGCACGCCTACGACACGCTGAGCCTGGAGAGCTCAGACAGCATGGAGACCAGCATCTCCACCGGGGGCAACTCGGCCTGCTCCCCCGACAACATGTCCAGGTGCCTCCCCGCCCGGCCCGAGGTCTCCAGAGGGCACCCCCAGCTCCTGACGCAGCCCCTCTTCCCTTCCCTCTGCAGTGCCAGTGGTCTGGACATGGGCAAGATCGAGGAGATGGAGAAGATGCTGAGGGAAGCTCACGCAGAGAAGAGCCGGCTCATGGAATCCAGGGTGAGGCTGCCAGGAAGCAGAAGGCGTGGGACTGAGTGCCCTCCACCTGCCGAGGGCCTGGCACCACCTCAGCACCTTCCAGCCGCATTGCTTCGGAGTAGAAAGCATTTTTTTTTTTATTGTGATTTTGTAGTATTAGAGGTTGAAACCAGGGTCTTTGCACTGATCTACAAGCGTAGCCTATTTTGTTTTTTTATTTTGAGATAGTGTCTCACTAAGTCACCCAGGTGGGATTCAGATTTGTGATCCTTCTGCCTCAGCCTCCTAAAGTGCTAAGATTATAGGTGTGTGCCACTGTGCCCAGCAGAAAGTGTTTTTGTTTTGTTTTGTTTTGCTTTGTTTGAGACAGAGTCACTATTAGTTCAGGCTGGCCTGGAGCTCACTATGTAGCTCAGGTGGGTATTGAACTCACAGTGATCTTTGGGCCTCAGCCCCCGCCCCCCGGTGTAGGAATACAGGTGCATACCGCTGTGCCTGCCTAAGAAAGTGTGTTACAAGTCTGTGTTGCCAGGCCTATAATCCCAGCACTTGGGAAGCCTAGGCTAAGTAGTGAGTTCAAGGCCAGTCTGAACTATATAGCCAGAACCTGTCTCAATAAAGCAAGAAAAAGGGAAAAAGAAAGAGAAAGAAGAGTCTGTGTTCCTTAAGTAGGCCATGGGAGGCTGGGCCAGCCTGCAGCATCTCAGCCCTGTGGAATAGAAGGCAGCTCAGGAACCACTGTCCAACCATGAGTTTCCTGGACAGGAACTTCTGGTCTGTCTGCATCCTGCTGTGGACATTTTGGGAAGCATGGGAATTGCGGTCCTTTCTCCCTGCATAGCAGGTCATCCCTCCTGGGGATAGGTAGGAAAGCGGGAACTAGGGGCGGAAATATAGGATAGCAGAGGAAGCAGGGGTCGGAGCAAGAGCAGAGATATTAGGTGGGGAGTGGCTGTGGGAAGTCCTGATCCCTTAACCTGGGCATGCCCTGGGGCTGGGCAAAGATAGGCTGAGGTAAACTCTGCCAGGGTGTGAGGTTAAGCAAAAGGTCTGCAGAGGCATTTTTTCTTTCTCTCTCTGAGATGCTTCTTGCTATGTTGCCCAAGCTGGTCTCCAACTTATGGGCTCGAGTGTTCCTCCTGTCTCAGCCTCCTGAGTAGATGGGGCTACATAACACAGGACTGTTTCTGGCTGTTTTTTCTCCCTACTCTGTATCTGTTGAAATGAAAATGGAGCCGAAGGAGTACAGTTAACAGCTAAAAGGTTTTTTTATTAATTAAATTTCTGTTTTTGTGGGGTTTTTTTTTTTTTGGTACCAGGGATTGAACTCAGGACCTTGTGCTTGTGAGGCAGGTGGCAGAACCACTGAACTAAATCCCCGGCCCTATTTTTCTCTTTCTGAGACAGGATTTTGCTATCCATTCAGGCTGGCCTTGAACTCACTGTGTAGCCCCAAGGCTGGCCCTGAATTCACAGTGCTCTTCCTGCCTCAGCCTCCTGAGTGCTGGGATTACCGGCATGCACCACCACACCTGGCATCTAGAGGGTTTTAAAAAGGAGATACTGAAAAAAAACCCAGGAGTACTGACCATTTAGATGGATAGTCAACCAGAAAAGAGCGCCTCTTAATCTTATTTACATCAAAGTAGGGCAAATTTACAAGCATTTCTTGGCAAATGGAGGGAAAGAAGATTGATTCTTTGAACTGGGAAGAAAAAATCAGATGGTATAGAGCAGTGGTGAACCTCTGGCATGAGTGCTGCAGGTGGGCTGTTATCTTTGAACGCTCTAAAAGTTTGCCATCACTGGTATAGCGTCTTTGTCATTAAGGCATACAAAGGATCACTGACATCTCTATATTTATGAGTTGTTTTAATGATTTTTATTTTGTATATTTCATTTTTTTGGTACCGGGGGATTGAACTAAGGACCTTGTGCTTGCGAGGCAGGCAGTGGCACCATTGAGCTAAAATCCCCACTCCTGTTTCAATGGTTTTTTAAAATCCTTTTTTTTTTTTTTTTCTGAAATGGGTATTTTGTCTTTTTTTGCTTGCGAGGCAGGCAGTGGCACCATTGAGCTAAAATCCCCCCTCCTGTTTCAATGGTTTTTTAAAATCCTTTTTTTTTTTTTTCCTGAACTGGGTTTATTTTGTCTCAGGGTCTTACTAAATCTCTAAATTGCCCAGAAGAGGTTCAAAGTTGTTATCCTCCTGCCTCAGCCTCCCAGAGTACTGGGATTATAGGCATGTACCACCTTGCCCAGTTTAAAATCCTTTTCTAATAATTTCAGCTAGAACCTTGGTCTCTAATCATGTTTTTCTCCAACAGATGTTACTAATGTGAAGTTTCAAAGGGCCTTAAGTTGGTGATTGTGGAAGGATTGCTGAATATACTAGCTGTCAAAAAGGTTAAATAGTTTACATTGTAGGAATTCAGATACACTTATATTTATTGCTACTTTCCTGCTGGAGTCAGTGATGGGCATTTATAAACAAGATCTTGTTTAATTTTCTCTGTAATATCAGGAGTAGGCACTTTTAACCCCACTTTCCGGATGAGGCAACTGAGGCTTAGAGAAATTAAACGATTTTGTCTGGGTCACAGCCCACAATGGTGACACAGCCAGGTTTGAAGTAAGGCCAGTCACACTTTAAAGCATATGTCCCACCTCTTGGAGAGGGTGGCTGTGGGGACGAGGCTTCCTCTGCCAGGCCATCGTCTGTGGTAGGTGGCTCCTGCGGCTCTGCCCGGGCCTCAGGAGGGCCAGTGGGAGATGCTGACGGTGGCCATGGCTCTGACCCCTGGCTTTGGGGACAGGAGCGTGAGATGGAGCTGCGGCGGCAGGCCCTGGAGGAGGAGCGGCGGAGGCGGGAGCAGGTAGAAAGGAGGCTGCAGAGTGAGAGTGCCCGAAGGCAGCAGCTGGTGGAGAAGGAGGTCAAGATGCGAGAGAAACAATTTTCCCAGGTGAGCAGGAGGTGGGCTTGATGGTGAGGGCTGTGGAGGAGCGGGGCCCTCCCTAGGTTCCTCTTCTCCAGAAAAGATTGCCGTTGGCCTCACACAGGCAGATTCTACTGGAGACTCTTCAGCCCCAAGGAACAGCGACCTGGTGGGGCTTGTTCAGCCTGTATCCATGAGCACTGGGGGTGTGAGAATAGGTTCCAGACCGGGCCCCTTGGATGAGGCTGAAAGCCAGGAATCCAGGTGGCTGTCCCTGGCCTCTCCAGGGCCTCACCTCTGCTTTGTGTGTCTGCGCTGTACCTTCCCTCCCGCTTCCTCTGCTGCCCCTCAGCACATGGCACTCCACAGTGTCCTGGCCCTCAGCCTGAGGGGCCTTCCAGCTCCAGTCCCCTCCATCCATGGATGACCTCACTCTGACTTTTGGTTCACATCTCCGGGGGTCTGCGGTCGATTCTTCTCGGACAGAGTCCTCTCCTTGCTCAAAAGCAGCCCTCACGCAGGAGATGTGAACAGGTAGAAAGAGGAATGGGGCTGGGCAAGGGTCCTAGACTTTGGCCACCTGCGGACTGTAGGACTCTGATGAGCTGTCCCCTGCAGTTGGGCTTTATAGGCCTCTCTGAATCGGCTTCCTCTGTAGTCTCCCCACAGCAGGGACCAGCAACTAGAGCTCCCTCATTCTCTGCAGTGCACCAACAGAAATTCTTAGGTCATCTAGTCTGGGTTTGGGAATTAAGAAACAATCGAGAACTTTGAGTTTTACCTCTGTGGTTGAAATCTTTGCCAAATGCCTAGTTCTCTTTTCCTGCCCCCGTGGTGACTGCCAGGGACTCCCTCTTCCAGCCCCTGTCCTAGGCCTGGGACTCGAGCATTGCTGCAGGGGCTGCTGGCCCAGTGTGGGCCAGGGCTGTGTCAGCTCATGTTTAGGGTTCCCTTTGACCTTTGTTTTGTGTTTTCTTTGAATGATTTGTGATGTTTCTTTTCTTGCCATTTTAAGGTTGTATGGAAAAGGAGGAGTAGAAAAGTATTGTGGTTGACTGAGAATTCTAGTTAGTATCAGAGGTGAAGTGAACTTAGTGATTATCTAATTTAAAGTCCTTCTTTTATGTATGTATAAGGAAACTGAGGCCCAGAGAATTATATGACCCAAACACGGTCCCATGGGTAGACAGAATGATTTCTTGTCTCCCTCTCTCCCTTTCTCTCTTCTTCTATCCCTCTATCTCTCCTTCCCTCCCTTTTTCCTTTTGTGCTAGGGTTGGAATCCAAGGAATTGTACATGCTAGGCACATGCTCTGCCACTAAGCTATAGCCCTAGCCCTAGAAAGCACATTTCTTACTGGACTTCTTATCCCAGAGCATGTTCACATCTGGCCTTTGCTTTGTTCTGTTCAGCACAGGAAGGGACCGGGGGCAGGGACAAGATGAGGATGGCTGCATATTGGTCACAGGTGGGAAAACTGAAGCAAAGAGTCATCCCGCATTTTGCCCGGACCGAGGCAGAGGCAGTATGCTCGGTCTGTACTTTTTTACAGGCCCTGTGAAACCAGAGTGACAGAGTTGGGGTCAGCAGGGGGTGATGCTGGGTTCCAGGAGGTTCTAGACTGAAGCTGAGGGGCTGGGATAGAATGATGAAGAGAGAGAGGAGACGCTGCTGACCCTGCCCTTTGGTCCTAGGCACGACCCCTGACCCGCTACCTACCGATCCGGAAGGAGGACTTTGACTTGAAGACTCACATCGAGTCGTCAGGCCATGGCGTAGACACCTGCCTGCATGTGGTGCTCAGCAGCAAGGTACCAGGCCCGGATAGCCCACGATGCTCGGGAGAGGGCCTCGTGGTCACAGGCACCAGCCTTGGAACCTAACATAGCCAGGAGACACAGCCTGCTGGCCTGAGATGTCGGGAACAACCCCACAGCATCAGACACAGGAGATGACATGCTTAAGGAGGCTGTGCAGGGAGGAGAGTTGAGGGCCTGCTCCCGGGGTCCTTTCTCACTTCTGCTTCCCACCAGGTCTGCCGTGGCTACTTGGTCAAGATGGGTGGCAAGATCAAGTCATGGAAGAAGCGCTGGTTTGTCTTTGACCGGCTCAAGCGCACGCTTTCCTATTACGTGGGTGAGTTCCCTCGGGACCTCCCTGGGGGCAGCTGGAGGTGGGACCCAAGACAGCTGGTCTTCAGGAAAGAGGCCAAAAATATTTTTTTGTTTTGCTTTTTGTGGCAGGGTCACCTTTTGTAATTCAGGTTGGACCTGAATGAACTCACTATGTAGCCAATGTTGGCTTTGAACTTGTGGCAATCCTCCTGCCTCAGCCTCCCAAATGCTGGGATTATAGGCATGCGCTACCATGCCTGCCAGGAGGACAATTTTCTGTGAAGGGACGCAGAGGCTCAGCCTGGGTCTTGTCCTCTCCTCCCTGAAAGTGTAGAGTATGTTTGGTTCACCTCCATTCATTCCTTCACTTGCTTACTCAGCAGTATTATTGGTCACCTAATTAATTATAGGCAGCACTGTGGGTGTTGGAGGTGAGCTCTTTGCCTTGGAGCTTCCAGTCAGGAAGGCAGATACTAAACAGAGTTAATAGTTAATGGGTTTGCTGATAAGCCCTGTAGGTACATGGGTTGGGATGGGGATCCCCTCAGGCAAGTTTCCCCAGACTTCAAGATGAGCAGTTACAAGTGCCACAAAGCTCTTGGAAGGGGTGGGGGTGTGTCAGGCTGTCTCCATCCTATTGGGCCCAGTTGGCCCATCCCATTCCCTTATTCCCTTCACTCCATCCTCGGGCAGTTTCCCATCTCTGGAATTCCCTCTGTACCGTTCCTGTTTGGAGCGTGGGGTGCTGGATCATCCCCTAGTCAGGAGAGGTTAGGGTTGCTACAGTAACAGCCAATCCTCAAATCCCAGTGGCTCAAAACCAGTTTCCTTTTCTGTTTTGTTTTGATTTGTGGTACTGGGAATTGAACCTAGGGCCTTCGCACTAAGCTACATCCCCAGCCCTTTTAAATTCTTTATTTGGAGACAGGGTCTCACTAAGTTGCTACGTTGCCCAGGCTGGGTTTGAACTTGTGATCCTCCTGCCACAGCTCCCCTGAGTGTGGGATTACAGGCGTGTGTTGTGACACCCAACCACAGTTTCCTCCTTCCCAGGACATCACTGCCGTGCATTGGCGGGGTGAGGGCTCCACTCTGCATCAGTGTTGTTTTTGCTTCAGAGCGTGCTTTTTAGGAATATTGCTGGCCACAGTGGCAGAGGGAAAAGAGAGGCTTAAGTAGGCCTTGCACTGCCATTAAGTGCCCCTCCCGGGAGGTGGTGACACCTGACACAGGCAGCGCAACCCTACTAGAATCCTAAGAGGAAAGGGCTGCAGGGTGTAGTTCCAGGGATGCCCAGGCTTGCAATGCCTGCTTCCCTTTCCAGCCTGGTCCCTTATCAAGTGTCACCTGCTCCAAGAGGTCTTCTCTGACCCCCAGGGCCCTGAGTGTGGAGGGACAGAGGCCCAGGTATCCCCACCTTCTCACCTGGGCTGGGAAGGCAGGTTCTGTGTCCGGAGAAGGAGAAACAGGACTGGCAGAAGAGCTGTACTGTAGGTATGTTGAGCTTGAGGAGCCTCTGGGACACCTGAATTTAGGAGAAAGGTGAGGGTGAGAGGGTGAGTGACAGCTGAGTCTGTTGGAATAATAGTCGCAGCAGTCACAATAACAGCAGATCACGTTTACCAGCCTTTGTGTGAGCCAAGTGCCGTGCTCAGTATTCTACACACATTATCTCATTTAATTTTTGTAATAACCCCATGAGAAAACCCCTGTATGTATGCCCATTTTACAGATCAAAAGGTGAGGCTTAGGGCTGGGGATTTAGCTTGCCTCACAAGCACAAGGGCCTGAGTTCAATCCCCAATACCAAAAAAACAAAAAAAACAAAACAAAAAAACCCAACAAACAAAAAAAGGTGAGACTCAGAGGTTTTATATACATTGCCAAGGTCTCACGGCTCCTGAGGCAGAGCAGAGGAGAGGGAGCACTGCATCGGCACGGGCCTCCCCTGGTGGGGAAGGAGGGGAGGAGAGCCCAGCACAAGCAGAAGGAGCAGGAGGCAGGGGGCCAGCACTGGCCTGGTGCTCGGTGCTGGGCTGGCACTTGGCAAGTATGACCTTACTTAACGTCTGTAAAACAAAAGGAGACCAAGTTTAGGCAGGCGGTGGAAACGGGAAAGGCAGGCAGCCAAAGAAGCGAGCATTTGCAAACAGGAGGTGTCACCAGCGATGACGGATCCTGCAGAAGGGCCATAAGTGATATGGCCCAAAGGCCATTAGATTCAGGGATCGGAGCTTGTGGAGAGAGCGCGTCCACTAAGCACTGGGGCAGGAGCCATCTTGCACAAGATCAAGGGTAGGTGGGTGGTGGGGAAGTGGGAGCAGGAGCGTGTTCCTCTTGGCAGTGAAAGGAGCAACCTGAAGGGTGGCCAGGTGCGGAGCCAAGGTCCTTGTCCCGTGGAGGAAACAGTGTTGGGTGTGGCAGGATCAGGACCTGTGTGCCTTGCCTGTGGGGCCTGCAGCCTCTTGCTCCTCAATGGAGACCCTGTGGCACTGGGTCGGATTAGACCCCAGCCCTCCGAAATCCGCATCTACCTGCACAGGAGTCTGCTTCCGCTCTCCTCTGAGCTCCTGCGGTTACCTGGGGTCTGTCTGCCGTGTGACAGCCCAGGGTGTAAGGATGTAGCGACGGATACCGCTCTGGGTGCCGGACACCGTGCTGACTACTTTGCGTGTGTTCTCATGTTTACTACTCCGGATAACCGGAGGTACGGAGGTGTGCTGTGGGCTCCTAACCACGCCAGCCAGCCAGCGAGCAGGAGCAGGCTGCCTGTCTGAACCTTCCTCCCACGCCATTGCTCGCTCCCGGGAGATGGATGTCTGGCATCTCTCCGCATCCTAGTGCCTGGCACGCACTCATCCCACACTCACGGAGCACCCGCTGTGTGCTTGGTACCTTGTCAGAGGAGGTGGACCTGTGAATGGATAAAGGAGGTTTCAGATTCAGCACGGCAAGTGCTGGTTTGTTTTTTGATTTTTTTGAGACAGTGTCTCGCTGTGCATTTCAGGCTGGGCTCAAACTTGTGGTGATCTCCTGCCTCAGTCTCCCGAGAGCTGCAGTTATAGGCATGCGCCACCGCACCCGGCTAGCATGGCACGTTGTGTAGAGGGCACACAACTGCGTCCCCTCTCTTAGGAGTCGGTCGAGGGAGTGTACCGGAGAGCATTCCAGTGTGTGCAGAATGTGCTGTGAAGGGATGGTGAGAAGCTCATCCTAGCCCCATTGAACCTGGCATTTGTGCGGGGGAGGTGGTGACACAAGCTGGAGGGACGCGTTGGCAGCAGTCCGCATGGTCTTTGCCAAGCCGAGGAGGCAGCAGGTTCAAGTCTGTGGGCTGGAGCAGGATTTGATTTGCTTTCCAAAGCTCCTCCTACAGCGCAGGGGAAGTGAGTGGAAGGGACAGAGGGTGGGGCAGAGGCACAGCATGCCAGTGTCCGCCTCAGGCCCGAAAGAAAGGGTTGGAGGAGGAGCGTACCGCCACCTCTCCCTTGGGCTTAGTGATGAGCCCAGCTCAGGAGGACTCAGGCTCTTGGGTGAGGAGATCTGTGTTGTTGTGGGTGCAGGTTTATGACAGACAGGGTGGCCCCATTCCTCTGCCCGAGTGAGTGACCTGCTCTGGCTCAGTGTCCTCCCACCTGTGCCCCACTCCAGGTGTGGTTGTGCATTGCAAGAGGCAGAGTGTCGCCCGTGCCTGCAGGGCTCTGGCCTGTGCCTTCTTCCTGTATAACACTCAGTAAATGTATCCATGTAGTTCAGAAATCAAAATGCATGAAAAAGCTTAAGTCAAGAGATATTCTACCTGTTACTACTGTCTTGTGTATCCTCTGGGATCTCTGTGGTAGACTAAGCAAAGGCAAACACATTATTTTTACCGCTTTTTCTTCCATAAGAGGGAGTGGACAATACATTCCTTGTTTCCCACCTAATGAGGTCTTTCTATATCTAGATATTTATAGATATTTATATCACTGGCTCAAAGATCAGGTGCCTTTCTAATTTTGATAGACATGAGCAAGGGTTTTACTGATTTATATTCCCCCTCCCAGGACTGCCTGTTTCTCCACAGCCTTGCTGAAAGTATGGTGTGTATTTCTGCTCTTCTGACGGGTGATCGGTGATAATGCACTGGTGTCTGATGTACATTTCTCTAATGCTGAGCAGGGCTGAGCATTTTCTGTATGTTCAGGCTCCCTTTGGGCTCATGCCCAGGGTGTTCCTGCTCTGGCAGTCCGGCAGGCCTCCTAAGCCCGGCCCTTTCCCTTTACAGATAAGCACGAGACGAAGCTGAAGGGGGTCATCTACTTCCAGGCCATTGAGGAAGTGTACTATGACCACCTGCGCAGTGCTGCCAAGGTCAGAGGCAGCGAATGGCAGAGGGGCAGGAAGGACAGCTGGAGGGAAGGGGTGGCTGGTGTGGGAGGCTCTGGGAGCTGAGGCCACAGCCCCTGCAGTGCGTCCATCCCAGTCCTTGTCCTCTTTGTCAACTTTCTCTTCCTCTCCCCTTCCCAGAAGAGGTTTTTCCGCTTCACTGTGGTGACTGCGGTACCCCTCCCCACATGCCTGTAACCAGAGCTACGTATATTAACACTTCTGGGCCCTCACCCTTGACCCCTGACTCTCCTTTCCTCTAACTTGTACCACGTCTGAGAGAGGAGTGGAACTTGAGTACACTTGTTGCCTCCTTCTCTGGAGAAGGCAGTGAGATGTCACTGGGGACAGGCAGTACAGGAGGGAGAACAGAGGGCCAGGGATTTAGCTCAGGTTCTGACGCCTGCCTCACAAGCTCAAAGACCGGAGTTTGATCCCTGGTACCAAAAAAAAAAAAAAAAAAAAAGGAGGGAGAACAGAAAGGGGGAGCCTCAGAGACTGGATTTGAGTGGGGGAGTTAATAAGCCGGAGGTGTATGAGGCTAGGGCCGGCCTCCTTCTCAGCACCCCTTCCATGCCCGCCCCAGCCCTGACTGCTGCTCTTCTGTGGTCCTGGCCTCCATCCTGCATACAGCTTTTCCTATCTGCCTCTTCTTTGCTGAGGAGAGACTGTTCTCACTGGAACAACCCCATATGACTCATTCTCTTCTGTCTACTTCTGAACCTGCGGGTGCAGGGTGCAGTGTCCCCGGTCGGATGTACTCTTGCCAGGGTCGGAAGGCTTAGAGAGCTAGGACTGCCATGGTGTGAGAGGGGGAGCATTTCAGCCTGGGGCCCACTTGGAGCAGAGGGGATGAAGCTTTGGTCCATTTAGGACTCAGCCCCTAAGGTCTGGGGCTTCCTGGGGGCTGAGGGAAAGGTGACAGGGGAGGTGTGATATTCTGGGCCTGGGTGAGCCCCACCTCGGGACCTTCCTCTCTTCCCTCAGCAGAGCCCGAACCCAGCTCTCACCTTCTGCGTGAAGACCCACGACCGGCTATACTACATGGTGGCCCCCTCTGCAGAGGCCATGCGCATCTGGATGGATGTCATCGTCACAGGGGCCGAGGGTTACACTCAGTTCATGAACTGACTGCTGTCAGCCTCCTGGACCCCTGCCCAGCACCTGTTACTGTGCTCACCCCTGGAGATGAATAACCCAGTGGGCAGCAGCCTCACAGAGGCCGGGCGTACTTGTGCAAGAAGACTTTGTAATATTCTGTAAGGAGCTCAGTTCTGTGAGGCTCTGGGCTCAGAACAGGAAAGCTGGGGAGGGCATGTGCTGGCTCCTGGGAGACCAGGACTTGGACTTGCAAGATCTGTTCAGGGTTGTGCCTGGGCCTGCAGCGCTGAAGAGCTGCCAGAGAGGGCCTCTCAGCTCTAAACTGGTGCCTGCTCTCCCTGGCCTGTTTTATCTTTGTAAAGGACAAATTATGGTACCAGAATCTGCCAAAGATCCCCTCTTGCCTCACCCCCTCTGAGGGGCCTTGGGGTCTGAGCAGAGCTACATCTGGAGTCGGGCAGCAGCTCAGGCAGTGTGCTCTGCCTTGCCCTTCTGCCTCATTTATACTTTTTATTAGTTGGCTCAAAGGCCAGAGACCACAAGCGTCAGCCTTGAGGCCCCAGCCCCATCCCCTTGTTGGAGACCCATCACCGTGGTTTCCATGGTGACTGCTCCATCGCCATGATAACACAACACTAACTGCCACAGCTCCATGGCTCAGCCCACCGTGGGCCGTCTGAGGGTACGCGCCATCATCTCTCCAGCCCAGCCCCGTGGGCACCTCATGTTTCGGGGGAGGGACAAACACCTGCTCTCTGCCTGTGTCTTCAGCCTTGATGCACAGCCTGCTGCCCTAGTCTCACCTCTCCCTTCCACCGTGCCTTGCTTAGAGCCAGAAGGGATGATGCCGGGGATCCATGGCCAGAGGAGCAGTGCTGTGCATAGGAGAGGAAGCTAAAAGGGCCGTCCTCTGGGTGCTGACAGAATGGGAGGGTTGCTCAGCACTCAGTGAAAGCCTGAGCAGGAGGGAGATGTAGACGGGGAGGGCTCTGAGCTCTGGCTGTCTCCTCCTTTCTGCCTCCGAAGGATGATGGAGAAGGAGAGTGGAGGACCAGGCCTCAGCTGTCTGGCCTCAGCCTTTCGCGCCTTAACACTAAGCCCACCTCCCCTGCCCTTGTCCCGAGCTTTGGGTCCTTGTTTGCCTGGACCTGGGCTGGGTGTTTTTCAGTATTTGTAAGCATTTCAGCAGAACAATAAAGCATTTGGGCTATGTACTCATGTAGTGTGCGGCTGGGTACCTGAGGTGATGGTGCTAGGTCTTCTCCTCCTATAGAGATGCCAGGAAGGACCCAGGTCCCACTTCCTGGCATCCATGTCACTGCCCTGCCCTAGATACACATGATAGCTAAGAAGTAAGAAGCAGAAGGATAGGAATGTGCACTTTATTGTCTGTGTTTTTTTGCTGGTACTTTGGATTGAACCCAGAGCATTCTTTTTGTTTGCTTTATTTGAAACAGGGCCTTTCTAATTTAGCTAGGCTGGGCTCCTGCCTCAGCCTCGCAGAGTGCTGGGATTACTGGCCGGCACCACACTATGCCAGGTGCAGAGGTTTTAATGAGGCAGGAGCTGGAGCCAGATGGGACACACAGATGGAGTGATGCCACCCTCCTGATCAGTCCTTCTGGCTGCCATGGTCACTATGACAGGAAGCTCGGCAGAAGGTGGAACAGACAGGCAGCCACCAGGCAGTGGGGCACCAGGAGAGCCAGCCGGGTCCCTGAGGTCAGCTGGTCACCATAGTGGTCCAGGAGCATCAGGGCCACTCCATTGGTCCAGCCAAACCCCTCCTGGAGAGAGGCAAAACCAGCGGGCCAGAGTCTGGGGGAGCCCCGAGCCCTGTTTTGGGGATGTGATGTCCTCTCCTCTTGAGGTACCAAGGAGCACCAGTCAGTCTTCCCCGCGCAGGTGGGCTCACATACAGGTGACTGAGACCTGAGGGCTCGTGTTGGTTGTGGGGGGTGACAGAGCCAGGGGTTCCCTGTAAGGTGATGCCAGCTCACCTGAACTTCATACTCCCCTCCACTGCCAGGCTGTCCATTGCTGATGTCATACTGGGGAGAAAAGCATGACGAAGTCACTCACTGTCCCCAGGCCCAGGGCAGCAAACCTCGAGTCCCCTGGGGAGAAGCTGCTCCGCCCACAGCCCCTGCAATACCCCAAAGTGGCCACTGGGTGCCGCCACGGCCCTGGCTGGGCTGCCCTGGGTCCTACAGGGCCAGCCACTTCCCCACCTTCCCTGGCAGGGAGGAGGCCCTGGGGAATCAGGGGGACGCCCCATGCCAGCTCACCTTCTCATACATGGCCGACTTTTGTGAATAGACGTCAAAGTTGGTTCGAATCCAATTCTGGGCCAGCTGGAAAGCCACTCCCTGGGTCCGAGGTGAAGATGACTTGGCCAAGCCTAGACCCCAACCCAGGAAGACCTGAATCCCCAGAGCCCCCACCCCAGGCAGAGCAGGCCCAGGCCTTACTGTCCCCAGGGAGGCAAGAGGCCTGGGCTCTAAGACCTCCTCTCTGCTCATAATCCAGCACCTGGCTTTGAGGGAGAGAGGAGGCTGGTCCCACTGGACGGGTGGGGGCAAGAGACAGGAGCCTGCTTGCTGATGGGGTGGGGGCAAGAGACAGGAGCCAGAGAAAGCACTCAGGGCCCTGCGTCCCTGTTCATGCCTCCCCAGTACCAGGGTGGCCGAGTCCTGCACTCTGGCTTTGGGCCCTGGTGGATGCCCCGCTCCTGTCTCCCTACCTCTGATGACCAGGTCCTGCAGAGGGGCCCAGCCATTGGGAAAGTCCCACTGCTGGCCTGTGTTCCGGAGAGAGGTGGGGATCCCATACTGGTAGGTCAGGATCTGGCTGTCCTAGAAGGGTCCAGGCATTGCTGTGACTGTGGGTGGAGCCTGGACAGGGAGCCAGGACCCTGGGCCCTCAAGAAGCCAGCTGTGTCCTCCCTGGTTCTTCTCTCCTTGGCTCTCTGCTGTCCCCTGGCGGCCACAGGCAGACCCGCAGGGTAAGACAGGCCTAGGTAGCCAAGAGTGGTCTCTGCCCAGTGAGGAGGGACCATTCTGTTCCAGGGGCCACCGCTGCCCACTGTCCCCTCACCTCCAGGTATTTCAGAGCCTTGTCCACAGCAGCAGGGTCAGAGAAGCAGCCGGCCCAGAGCGGGGTGAGGTTGGATGGATAGAACTCAAGGTTCTTCTTCCCATTCTCAAGGTCATAGTCGAACCAGGCACCCTTCTGCTCATCCCACAGGACGGCCTGCATGGCGGCCATGCGCTGGACCCTCAAGCCTTTGTACTTGGCAGCCTGGGCATCATCTCCTGGGAGGCACTGTCTTTAGACTGAGTCTGCCATTGGGCTCCATGCCTTAGATGGTTCTACTCTGCATTTTGTTTTCTGTTGTTTGTTTTGCAGTGCTGGGAATGAAGCCCTGGGCCTTGTGCATGCTTGTTGAGTGCTGTGGTGAGCTACACTGCCAGGCCCAGCTCTACTTTGGCTTCCTTCATTTGTCCTCCTCCTCAAGGGCTAAGCTATCCTGAGGCCCAGAGAACTGGGCCTCCCTGCAGCCCACACTTCCTGCCTCTAGATTGCAGAGTCCCTGAGCAATGGTGTGTCTGCTAGGTCCATCTTCCACAGGACACTGACTTACGAATTCCCTGGCTCTGAGGGGCCAATGGGCAGCACTGGGGAGAGGGAGTAGAGGGCATTTGGAGAGAGCTTCATAGTAGGAAAGGGAAGGAGGCAGTGTGAAGATGTGGTGGGCTTATCACACGTGTCACGTTATGTCGCTGTGTTGGTGCACACGGTTAGCACTGGCCTCTCCTGGGGAGAGTTTGAGCAGGCTGGGGAGCCCTTCACCCTGTGGGGCCACTGGCAGTTCCATTGCCAAGGTGGCCACTGGCCAGTGCCTTCCCCCAGTGCTCACCCAGTCTGGAATAGAAGCTGCTCATCAGCTCCTCTGCCTGGCACAGGAAGGCATTCAGGTCAACAGGCACCTGTCTGCTGGTTTGGATGCTGCTGAGCAAGTCAGGGTGGGGGCTTCCAACTAGCCAGCGGGAAGAGAAGTCCCAGCCTGACTCAGCCCCAGCCTTGAGCTCAGCCCATAAAGCCTCTGGATCCCCTGTAAGGACAGAGAGGGGGCCCAGGCCAGGCCTGGCTGCAGGATAAGGTAGCAGCAGACCAAGGCCTGACATGCGCCACAGAGGTCCAGCCACCCCCACTCTGCCCTCCTTCCTGGTGCTGCTCACCTTCCTGCAAGTTGTTTGCCAACTCCTCATCTTTGCTATAGGACTCTGGCCTGGCAGAGGGGAGAGATGGGCAGCTTGGTGCTAGCAGGCACTGAGCCCTCTGCTCAAGCCCTCTTGATTCAGCTGCCCAGGGGCCCCCATAGTCCTGGGTGGCCAAGTGCATTCAGTGTCACATAGGAGAGGCTGGACTAGCTTTCTCCTCCTTCAGCCCTGTCTTTGTGATGCTCATCCTAGAGTGAAGGACAAGAGATTGACACTTGGGCTGGCAAGTTCCTCACCTGGGTCCCCCAAAAGGGACATAATAGCGATTCAGGATGTAGCTCTCTCCTCCCAAGTTCACAGAGACGGTCCTGTTCACAGTCCAGAAGTCCAGTTCCAAGGCTAGTGTCTCGATGTTTTCCCTGGAATGGAGGCCGGTATGTAACACCTTAGCCTGGGCAAACCCCCCACCCCAGGAGGTCTCAGAGAGGGGTGGGCCTGCAGGGCAGCACGGGTGAGGTACCCACCTCAGGAAGCTGATGTTATCGGTGTGAGTAATGTATCGGTCCATCATGAGGGTCAGGAGTGGGGGGTGGCTCCGCTGCAGGTAGTACACGCGTCCACCATTGGGGATGTGCCCATAGCTGTCAAGGCAGAGTCCTGCTGAGATACCCTCTGCCCAAGCCCACGGCACACTGATTCTCCTCCAGCCCTCTTCTTACGTCTTGACCAGGTCCAGGAAGTTCTGCAGCATGCCTCTCACCGTCTCTGTCATCTCAGAGAGGAGCAGACCCTCTATGACCCAGTAGGAGTCCCTGGGGAAGGGCAGACAGGCATCACCCCACTGCTGCCCTCTGCCTTGCACAACAGGCTGGCAGGGCACTGGCTCTGGGTTTCCTAACATTTCCGGCCCCTGTAGGGCCCCCTGGCCTCTTGGACCTGGGTACTCACCAGTAGTAGAATTCGACGAATCGCCCCCCAGGTACAATGAAGGGATGTTCTGAGTAGATCAGAGAAAATCGCTCAGGGTGGCTGAGAACTTCTGGCTTCATCTGGAGTCAGGAGAGTGGGACAGTAGAGGGGTGGGGGCTGCAGAAGGCTAAGCATGGAGGCACTGGCACCATAGCTGTGGAGCCAGGCTGTATCCGCTGCTGCTCAGCCATGAGGTAAAGGACCAGATGCTGGAGCCTTGGTGTCCTCACTCCCTACGTGCCAGACTCTGACTCCCCTTGACGGTGTATAGAAACTGACCACCCAGCTTGACACTGGACAGGTGCAATGGCTGTGTCCAGATGTCCCCTCAAAGCCTCATGCAGTCATAGGTGGGGATTTTCACAGGTGGCTGGATCTAGGGTGTGTGAGACTGGGATTAAGCCTGTAATGCTGGGATCAAAGGTGTGTGATTACAGAATTAGTCCACTGATAGCTTTGACATAATTCTGCGAGTGGATAATGGGAAGGCCCTCCCTGGGTGTGAGTGCGAAGGGTGGGTAGGCTGGACAGAATATAGCGGACAGAGAGAGGGCTGCTGGGGTTGCTTGTCAATTGATGTTTTTGCTCTTTTGTTGCCTTTTGCCCTCCATGAACTGTTTCTCCTCTGTGATGCCCCTCTGCCATGTGCCACCCTGCCTTGGAGACAGACAACTATGGACTGAAGCCTCTACAAACCATAAGCCAGGCAGACTTTTCCTCCTTAAATTTTGGTGTCAGGTATTTTGTCTCAGCAATGAGAAAAGTAACTGAGATAACAGGTGACCACCAGTCAGCAGTCATTATTGTGACACAACTGTAGCTAAGTGGGTGAGGGGACTTGGCCCCCATGTCCCTGCTGCCACCACTAAGCCAGGACTAGAGAGCTAGCTCCACCCTCCACTTCCACCAAGTCTCTGGCCCAGGTGGGGACAAAACCCCAATCCCTTCCCCAGGCCTGATGCATGTGGGAGGACAAGGCTAAGGGTGAGCAATTGCAGGAGCAGTGTGGGGCCTGTGGGGCCCATCAGGTCCTCTCTCTGCCCGTTCCCACCACTTCTGGGGATGCACTGGCGTCAGTGGGAAGCTCAGCCTGCCTCAGCCATTTTGAGGGAACAGCAGACCAGGACCATGTGTGCTCCTGAGGGGACCAAGCTGGCACAGGAGGCCTGAGCAGCAGGGGCCAGGCCACACGGTGCTGAGCTCAAGGAGGGGGCATGCCACATGCAGCAAAGACATGCAGTTACTGGCCCTGAGCCAGAGGCCTGACCCAGCCCCTCAGGAGAGCAGAGAGCCAGGCAGGAAGTGAGCCTTTGCCCATGTGGCGTTGGAGGCAGGGGTAGGCAGCTTTGTGGGGCAGGAGAGGCTGGGGAGACTTCCTGGAGGAGGTGAGGGTGAGAAGCAAATGCTCCCCTCTGACCTCAGAAGTGCTTTCTAGAAGGCTTCCATTTGGGGACCAAAGGGGTGAGGCACTGTGTTTTCAGGAAACATCTATGATCTGGGGTGCTGTGGGTCCTCAACAGGCACAGCTCTCTCCCATCTCCAGCACTGCTGGTCAGCCCTGGGTCAGTCCCAGGACATTTCTACCTTCCTTCCCAGCTTTTTCCAGATCTGGTGCAGTTGCTCTGCCCAGGCACGCAGCTTGGCATCTGAGATCTTCTGCAGGAATTGGGGTCTGGAAGAGTACCCGCAGGGTTCAGGAAGGCAGCCCTGTCAGAAGGGCTTTCTCCTGTCCTCTGTCCAGGTTGTACCTGTCTTTCCAGTCTTCAGGGGTCCAGGACAGCAGCTCCTGCCCCACAGGCTGGAAATATCGCTGGATGAACTCCTGCAGCTGCTGCCTGGGGATGCTATGGTTGTGGGCTGTGGTGAGCGCACTGAAACTCTGCAGGACTTCGTCTGGAGAGCAGGTAGCAGGGAGGGATCAGCAGCATCCCTGAGCATGTGGTTTGATACCTTCCTGCCCTCGCCCCTGCCATCTTTGAGTAAAGGTTCAGGAGAAGATGAGGTGGCCTCACCTGGTGCTGCAGACAGTGACATGTCTACAAACTGCTTGTCATCCGGGTAGAGCTTGGCCATCTGAACCTGATGCAGGAGCTCGCCGTGGCAGTAAATCTGGCTGCAGAGACAGTGGGGGAAAGCAGGTCAGGAGAGAGGACGACGGTCTGGGGCTCATGGCTCAGGGCATGTTCTCCAAGGCTGTGTGCCCATGTGAGTGCGTGTGTGCGGGGCAGGTATATGCTGTGGTGGCAGTGACACACAGAGCTGAGGACAAGCAGGGTGCTTGTAAGGCACAATTGCCTGTGCCCACTCTGGCTGATCTTTTGACACCACTAAGCCCACACAGCCTCATGTGGAAGGGATTATGGCAAAACTCTGTGAGTTGTACCTAGGAGTGATTGCTGAGATCTTCAACCGGAACATTTGTAGACGTAGAGGTAGTAGAGAGGTAAAAGAGACGACATTTGAGAGAGAATCACTAGCTTACTCTTGAGCGCTCAGTGTAACAGCTCCATGACTGTGGGACACAAAATAATTCTGACACCAGAAATGCCTGTGATGCTCGGTGATGCTCAAGTCCCGCCCTAATAAAGAAGTCAGTGCCGGGAGCTCGTCTATGCAGAGGCAACGGTCCCCTCAGGAGCACGCTGCGTGTGGGGCAAGGAGGTGCCCCTCATGTCTGCAGGCAGGCAGCCCTTTCCCCTCGGGCCGACTTGGGAAGCCCCAAGGGTGCTAAGTCCCATGGCCACATGGGAGCAGCTCCGTGAACGGCTCTTTACTGCCTAGCGAGAAGCTGCTAGGTTTAGGTGTGGATACAGTATGTTAGTTCAAAGGTTGTCACTGCTGGTGGGGATTCTTTAAAGTAGGTAGGAAAAATCAGCCTGAGGGATCCACTTACATGCTGTTCTTGCAGTGATGGCAGAAATGAGTGATAAAAGCTTCCACATCTGGGTTTTTACTGACTCATAGGCAGCGGCCACTGGCCTGGCAGACGGGCAGTGAAAAATTTAACCATCGCGCTGGGGATTTAGCTCTGTGGTTCCACCGTCTGCCTCACAAGTGCAAGGACCTGAGTTCGATTTTCGTTACCAAAAAACAAACAGGAAATACAAAAAGAAAAACTTAACTATTAAAGAGACGTTTGTTTGTGGCATCGTATGGAAAGCACTACAGATGCTTGGGGCAGGCGTTAAAGTAGCTGTGTGTAGCTGGGTGTAGAGGCAAATGCTCAAAATTCAAAAACTTCACAAGACTGCACATATAAGGGCCTGGCTGTAGCTGCAGCTGAAGGAGCTGACAAGCCAGCTGACCCCCTGCATTCACCTCGCCACCATGGACATCGCTATCCACCACCCCTGGATCTGACGCCCATCTTTCCTTCCCACTCCCCCAGCCGCCTCTTTGACCAGTTCTTCGGAGAGCACCTGTTGGAGTGCATGGCAGGCACGAGGAGAGCCAGGATGAGCTTGGCTATCTCCGGAGAGTTCCGCAGGAAATACCGGATCCCAGGGGATGTGGACCCTCTCACCATGACTTTATCCCTGTCCTCTGATGGGGTCCTGACTGTGAATGGACCAACGAAACAGGTCTCTGGCCCTGAGTGCACCATTCCCATCATTCGTGAAAACAAGCCTGCTGTCACCGCAGTCCCCAAGAAGTAGACGCCCTTTCTCTAATGGCATTTTTTAAAACGAAGTTTCCCCACCAGTGAATGAAAATCTTGTGACGAGTGCTGAAGTTTATTAATGCTAAGGGCAGGCCCAAATTATTAAGCTAATAAATATTATTCAGCAACAGAAAACAAATGCTCAAAATCCTATAAACTGCTACCTTGGAACGGACAGTACTGTACCAACGTGGACTGCTGGGTTACTTTTCCTCAGATCAAGAAACACAGTGTAGGGGCCAGGGATTTAGCCCAGTGGTGCTGCCGCCTGCCTCGCAAGCACAAGGTCCCAAGTTTGATCCCCGGTACCAAAAAATAATAATAATAAATATTTTAAAAAAGAAACAGTGTAAAAGAATGGGTGGAGGAGGCTGGGGATTTAGCTCAGTGGTTCTGCTGCCGGCCTCACAAACACAAGGACCTGAGTTTGATCCCCAGTACAAACAAAAACAAAAACAAAAAAAACCCAAACAGAGAATGGGTCAAGGGACATCATATCTAATGAACATATTATGCTGTGGAGTGCCAAGCGGGGTGTGATGTGATTGCATCTGTAATCTTAGCACTTAGGAGGCTGAGGCAGAAGGATTGCTATGTGTTTGAGGCCAGTCTGGGATACACAGCGAGACCCTGTCTCAAAAATAAAGTGTAGCTCATCTGATTCAAACACTGGTTGTCTGAAATGAGGGGACTAAGGCATGAAAGACTGGCTTACACACCTTCACAAGAGTGTGCTCACACTCAGCATGAGGGGGGAAAGGAAAGGTACCCCCTTGCACAGATTCCTCTATTATGTGGGCTGACCTGGGGTGGGCTGGGGAGGCGCTAGCGTGACTGGACAGTTTCCCCCACATCATTCAGATACGTTTTTCCTACCTGACACAGTGGTCCCAGGACCGGAACCTTTTGTGGATGTCAGAAGCAGGGATAGGTCCCAAGGAAGAAATTCCAGTTGTGCCCTGAAACCTCTCTGCAGGAATTCTGAAGGGTCCGATACGGTAGGTTCACCCCATCTAGCTACCTGGGGTCATCAGGGAAGGCAGCTGCCTGGCCTGGAGCTTAAGATGGCCCAGTAATTCTTCCCTCTGCACCCCATCCCATATGAAGGGGCTGAGAGGGGGGATTGGCTAGAGTCACATTGCCACCAATGATCTGGACCAGCACAGTGGCCGAACCTAATGTTCCTTCCAAAAGTGGAAAAACTTGGTAAAAGTCAGTGGCAAGTGGAGAGGAGGAGGAATAGTAGCTGAGGGCAAAGAAATAAACACATGGGTTGCGCGGTGAGGAAAATCCAACATTGCATTGGTGCCTGGAGAGAACAAGAGAATGGAACTGTACTGTCGCACAGGGGCACCAGATGCCTAGAAGGGGAGAGCTAGTGACTGGCCAAGAGTAATTCCTCTGTCAGACCCTGAAAAATCCAGTGGCCACCTGAAAAACCGCAGCGCGGCTCTGTGATGCACCAGTCGGACCAGCTGCTGAGGACTGAATGGAACCTCGGGAATGTGCCAGTCTTTTGACTTGGCTTCAGGTCCCATCTACCAGAAAGGAGGGGAGAGAGTTTGGGAAGGAATTTCCAGGAGCTACTTCCTACCTGGCTCTTGGACTGTGTGTCAGATTAATCACCGTGTAACGGCGAACCTTGATAATTCAATGCTGAGGAAGCCCCTGGTTATAATGGACAAAATGGAGCAGCAGCAGCATGGCCCATGCCGCTGTGTACCACAAGGGCCAATGCGGACAGACAGCGCAGGAGGGAAGGGTGGATGTCTGGTGGGATTAGCGCTGCAGGCATCATGCAGGTGCCCAAAGTATCCGGGGAGCAGCCCGATCCTGAGAGAGGACGGCCGTGCACCTTCAGGCGTAGGCAAACCAAGTTACATCTCAGTGTGCCAGTGAGTCACGCAGCCACACGCCGTGGCGAACAATGTACCCGTTGGATCGAATGACACCGATTGAGTCTCACCTCTTCTTGTAAGAGTGGCAGCCTCCAAAGAGCGTGCAGCGCAGCCCGGAGCTGCATCCCCAGGGAGCCGTGCTGTGGGCCCATGGCCACTGTCCAGTTGGCAGTGGAAGCGAGCAGCTCCTCGAGTGGTTCCAAAGTCAGGCTTAGGGGAAAAGAGTCCACCTACTCTCGGGCACAAGGAACTGTGTGTCCCCAACAGCCTGTTCCTCCGTCGCCCGTGCATGTTTTATCACAGCCACTGCCTTAACTCTGAGAGCATCTCTCTCTCATCACCCAGGTGTTACAGGTACTCCAGGTTTTACGGTTCTCTCATGTTCTTCAGTGTCAGGAGCAATTCCTAATAATGTCCGATGGCAAACTAATGATTACCCCTCAATTGCAAATTCTCTAGTTCAAAGTCTCGACGGTCAGAACGGGTGCTCCGGGCCCGTTCTGCTCCACAAAAGGTGAACACGGACCCAGGCATCTCCCCAGGCCCACTTGGAAGGAGCAGTGCTCCCCACCTGATGGCCATGTGAGTGTCACATGCTTCTGCCTCCCAGCACTGCATGGTGGAAACACTCTCCAGGCAGATGCGGTATCCATTCTCACGTACAGTCAAGTGAAAAGGACACAACGCTTCGTAAGAAATCTTTCAAATGGGCCGAGAAGAGCAGCTGAGTGGCAGGGCTTTCATCTCGTCTAGCACAAGGTCTTGGGTTTGATCCCCAGCACCAGTATATAAACAAAACCTGTTCAGATGCACACATTTTCATCCAGACTTTCACATAAATCCCAATAATCTTCCATTCCTCCCTGTGGCCTGGGTTAGAGCAACAACAGTAGGTTTTTCTTTCGTGATGCTCTGTAGGGGGTCCATTCCCCAAGCTGACTTTGTTTCCATTTCCATGAGGCATTTGGGTGAGAGAGAGACAATCACTTCACCGAGAGCAGGTTTAAATGGTCTATTTTCACTGGAAGTTTCACTTGGACTCCATCATCCTTACATTTTTACATCCTCTGAGTTTAGTTGTAGCACTCGCTAGAGGTACAGCACCCCTGAGGGGCTTCACTGTCGGCTTTGGTCTGTCAGGGGCTGGAGCCTGTAGCTTCACTGAGTAGAATTTAAGCATGGCCCCTCTCTTCCTTATATTTTAGCTGTTATAGATAATAATCTACAGGGCTAGGGATTTAGCTCAGTGGTGTCACCACCTACCCCACAAGTGCTAGGTCCCCAGTTCAATCTCCGGTACAAAGAAAAAAAAGATAATCTACAGGCATCGTCCCTTTTGCTTTTTTCTCCCTAGTCTGTACTGCCTTATGCATAATCGAGTCACCTTCCCAGGAGCTGGGCCCACCATCTCTAGATCCCACTGCTAAGGAACTCTGATCTCCAGTTAACTGAAAGCTGAACAATTGCTCTTCAGTACCTCAAGAAACCTCTAACCACCTGGGAAATAAAATTCCTTACCATGAGAATTTTCATCCTTTTTTTTTTTTCTCCTCACAAACCACATGTTTCAAAGAACCAATGTCATTCCCACAAATCATACATTTTCGCACACCTGCTGCCATTTAATTCCGGGTCTCCCACCTGGAGTTAGTGCAGACACCCACACAGGTGAAGAGCACTGTCACCAGACAGAGGGCCCCTGGCTATGAGTGCAGGGGTCCCTGCCCCATCCACATTCCTGACCAACTGGCTATAAATGTGGGGGCTCCAGGGGCCCCTCAGATCCAATGATTTGCTAGAACAACTCATACGACTCAGGAAAGCACTATACCTACTATTTTTTGTTTTGTTTTGTTTGAGACAGGGTCTCACTATGGAGCCCAGGCTGGTCTCGAACTCACAGCAATCCTCCTGCCTCAGCCTCCTGAGTGCTAGGATTACCTACTATTACAGTTGCATTAGGATCCACTGGGTGAGGGTGGGGGGCCCTGGGATTTGGGGCTCCTCCTGTGGACCCACCACGTTCACCCTCCTGGCTCATCTGCGTTCTCATTCAGGAAGGCCTATCTTTGGAGTTCAGAGGGTTTTTGTTGTTGTTTGCTTGCTTTGATTTATTTGTGTGATATTAGGGTTTGAACCTAGGGGTATGCACATGGTAGGCAAGTGTTTTTTCTGAGCAACATCTCCAACTCTTATTTTTTAGTACCAGGGATCACACTCAGGATCTTGCGCTTGTAAGGCAGGTGTGGTGCCAGTGAGCTACATCCCCGGCCCATATTCTTTAAAATTTTGAGACAGGGTCTTGCCAAGTTATCTAAGCTGGCCTTGAACTTGGAATTCTCCTGACTTAGCTGCTGAGATTATAGGTATGCACCTCCACACGAGGCATAGTCCAGAGTTTTTATTGGGTTTTATTATGTAGGTTTTATTGATTGAATCCCTGGTTGCATGATAGAATTCAACCTCCAGCCACCCTCTCCTCACTGACACTATAATTCAAAGCCCCAACCTTTAAACATATTGTCCATGTTTCCAGTACAGCCCTCCCCATCCTGAGTAATATCCTAGCAGAAGCTACCAAGGGACTCGCCCTAAGCCATCTCACTGGCAGAAGTATCAAGGAAGGCCTTCTATGAACAGCAAAGACAGCCTTGGCACTTGGGAAATTCCAAGGGCATAGAAGTCACCTCCCAGGAACCCAGGACAAAGATCACAAGAAATCATCATGCAGCAAGTGTCTGGTGTAGTGAAGGGTTTCTGGGTTCACACCCTGTGTGTTGTTTCCTGGGGCCTTTGACCAGGCCAGATATTTTATGCTAATAACATGATTTATGGTGGGGGCCTTTGGCCACCCAATATCAGTTTGACCTTTGGAGATCTGGAGACCAAGTAACAAAGGTCACCAAGTCAAGTACTCCATACTCTGCGACTGAGGGGCTTGACCCCTCTGGACGATGGCTTGACACCAGGACTCAGGGAGTGCCCTAGTTGGCGACACTCTGCAAGTGTTGTCACATGTGGCTTGTGGAAGAAATTGATGTTTGTATTGATCCCCTGGGACACAGGGCTGACTTTCTCCTGGACTCTGCTCTATCTATCTGTTGCTACTTTTGATGGCTTTCATAGGCGTCTCTACGGAAATAAAACATCATCACAGGAATTACTAGTTGGTGAGTCTGCTCTTTCCACACATTTGGCAAACAACCTAACAGTTGACAAAACCCTCATCACCAGGACAAAACCTATGAACTACTCCAGATACATCCTCTCCCTTCTGACTCCACAGTTGATCAATACAAGTCTTAATAGCTCAGTCCTCAAAGTATATCTGCTCTTGAACTATTTGACACTATCCCCAGTCCTGCCCCTGGAGCATGAGCCCTGGTTCTTTTTCCTTAGAGCCCCTTCTGCCTCTCTGTCCCAGCTGCATAGGCCTTGTTCCCAATGCTGGAAAGGTGCCCCAGGGCCTTTTTACTTCAGTTTCCATGCCTGAACGCTCTCTCCCTCATAGTGTCTGCTTAGGGGTGGTTCCTTCCACAATTCTGCTCACATAGCACCTCCTCAGATGCACCCACCACCTCTCTGACACCCTTTGACCACCCCCTGAGCAATTCCTAGCTGCACTTCACTGTGAATTGCGCTGTTCTCCCTTTTTAGCTGCTGTTTTCACTCTTCTTGCAAGAGATGGTGATGTGGTGGGTGGCGACTCCTTCCCGAATCTGCATGGAGCGCAGTGGCCAGTGCCCTGAGTCTAGAGGGCTGAGCGGGCTCACCCATCTCTGTATTTGCTGAGGGAAGCTGGGGCTCAGTAAGGAAGTGTGACTTTCCCTGGACCACAGAGAGGGCATCAGGGCCAGGCCTTAAACCCAGGTGCCCATTCCCGGGCTGTGAGGCCTGGTCACACCCAGACCAGGAACTCTGGGCAGGTGGTTTGCTGGGAAATCCTGAGCCCAGCCCTGCTCGGTTGGAGGAGCAGCTGGGAGGGTGGCTGTGGGCTGGTGCCCCAGTCTGTCCATCCTGCCCCGGGTGGAGGTGCAGTGCCTGGCACAGAGTGTGCTACCCAGGAAGACCTCTTTTCTTTTCTTCCCTCTAAAGTGATGACCCTCAGAGTCTGAGACCTCACCCAGCCTTCCACCCCATTCCAGCCTTCCCCATACACCCACCTCTCACAGGGTGGGGGCAGAGCTTCCTGGGACCTCAGCCCCAGCCCCAGCCCCAGCCCCAGCCCCAGCCCCAGCCCCAGCCCCAGCCCCAGCCCCAGCAGAAGTAGCAGGGGCAGCTCCCAGGTCCTCACGGGCATGGTGGCAGTGACCTTGGTGGAGTGAGCAAGCCTTGGGAGCTCTATCTCACCTGCCTGTCCAAGTCAGCCAAAGTCTAGGCTGTGAGGCGTGGCCACTGATGAGATGAGGTCCATCTGCACAGGGCCTGCTGGTCCCTCCTGCTCTTAGGCCACAGGCCACATCCCCACCCTATTTGTTGCCTTTCTTGTTGCTTGGTCTCAGCTGGTGTCACCTGTTCAGATCCTCCTTTCAGCACCGGATGGGTAGGGCTGGGGGAATGGGCCCCTGAGGGCCAGGGGCAGTTAAGGCTGCACATCTACAAGCTAGAGGCTGGTTCTTGGCTGGCTCCTAAGCCACTAGCCTCACAGGGCGATCATTTCTTTAACATTTCAAACCGAAAGGCCAAGAATTCTGTCCTCACTGTTATAGGCAACTCAGGGACTCATGATTATCTGCAGGAGAAGCTGTGGGAGCACAGATCCGCCTACTGTGTAAGGAGAGGGTCAGGAAGATCCACTGAAGAGGTGATATTTGCTCTGGGTGTTGGAAGATTGCTTAGGAGCTTGCCAAGGGGATGGGCTGGAGCTTGGTCCGGTGTAGGTGGAGCATGCAGCGGAGGGAAGTGAGAAGCTAGGCCTGGCTCTGGTAAACCTGACATTTGTGCAGGGGAGGAGGCGAGATGAGCTGGAGGATGTGTTGGCAGCAGTCGGTGAAGGCTCCTTGCCAGGCCGAGGAGGCAGCCAATCCAAATTTGGGGGCTGGAGCATTAGGATTCCATCTGCTTTCAGAAACTCCTCCCTCTGCCTAGGGGAGGTATGGTGAAATGGGCAGAAGGTGGGGCAGGGACAGGAGCAGGCTGGAGAAGGGATGGGATGGGGTGGGGGTGAGGGTCTGGAATCCGGAGTCGGGAGAGGAGAGGAGGTGTCCTTGACTCAGGCCTGCAAGAATGGGGAGGGGGAAGGAGTTTACTGCTAGCTGTCACCTGAGGTTAGTGATTGGTGCGGCCTCTGCCCCAGGACTCAGGCTTGCAGTTGAGGAGGTCAGTTGTGGTGCCTGAGCGGTGTTTGTCACTGTTAAAAGAAAAAGTTAAATTTAGCAGTGTCTGGGCAAAGAAACGATTCAGGAAATCAGGAACCACCCTGAAAACAGTAAAGGCTGAGAGGATTCCAGCCAGCCAGGAGAGGCAGTGTTTTTATAGAGAGAAAGAGGAAGTGACATACAGACAGAGCCTGATTGGTCAGCACTGGGTATTGGCCTTATCTGGATGGGTCTAGCCACTACACGGGCTGTGATTGGCTGAAGGTTCAGATGCTGTGATTGGCTGAGCCATGTCTATTTGGTAGGAAGCAGCTTTAGACTAAATTTGATTATTCTCTCCATTTTGGTCAGCCTCTAAATTTTAAGATATTATCCAAAACCTTGGACATCGACACCAGTTTCTATCACCATTATAAAAGACTTCTTTGGTCTCAGTAAGGAATTCACAATATCGTTAGTTGATTAATTCTTTATGCTTTCTTCATGCTTTTGTTATTCTTTTCAAATGAGACCTTTTGATCGTCAAAGGATGGCGGCATAGGAGCATTTAGGACTGTTGAGGGGACACAGTGCACCTGGAGACTATTATGATGCTTACCAGAAGGACACTAGCCAGCGGCTGAGGTATACAGGCACCTCCTTGAACCCTGACAAAGCAGACGATTCAAAGTTCAGACAATAAAGGCAGTTCAGCAGTATTTGAGTGCTACTGGTCCCAGTTTGTTTGTGTCGGGCATGAAGGTGATGAAGCACCATGGCTCACAGTAAAATCACCTGGTTTAATGAGGCATCTATTTTTGTTGCTAGCCCAAGAGATGGAAGTGGCAAATAACCTGGACAGTCACCAAAAGAAGAGTGACGGTTAGAAAACCATGGAATAGCCAAGCTTGCCGCCCATCATTCAGTATGACTGCTCCTAAGACAGAACCTCCTGTATCTCCTGCTCCTGATAGGTCCTGCTAGGAGCCAGCAGTGCAAGGCTCTCGTGTATCTTCACCAGGCTTCACTATTAGAAGTATAGGTCTTACAGAAACTATTTCATAAAAGTTCAATTACATTTCTAGTGGGAGGAGAACTGATGGCAATCAAGCGGTGATAACTTTGACCAGGGAAATCCAATCAATTGGATGCCTTTGTTTGTAACACCTTTTACAACTTGTCCAGTGAAATGAGTATCTCTCTCAGTGAGGATTTCAGCAATAACATCACATAAGGGAAACTTTTTTTTTTTTTTTTAGGAAGAAAGGTTTATTTCAGTTCCCAGTTTGTAGAGATTTCAGTCCATAATCAGCTGGTCTGGAAATACATTTTCTAATTGCATTTTCACTGTTATTACAGCATGAGGCTTCTTTCATGGGTGCCTTCTACACAACACAAAGCCATGCGTGAAGGAGGCAATGGCATGAACTCCAACTGTGATGTCCAAATGATCCAGAAAGTCCTGGTTGTATGTCACCTGAGGTTTGTGTCCTCTTGCCAGAATTAGGGGTTTGACAAACCAAACAGGGTGTGGCTTTTTAGCAAGTCTTGAAGTCAGGGAGAGCCAGTCCTCTGACATTCTCCTCATTGAAGATATTGTGGGATATTTTGGTGCCTTTGCCTCTCCACAGAACTCTTAGAGTCAGCTTGTCAATGCCCACAACATAACTCACTGACATTTCTATTGGGATTGCATTGAATCTACAGATCAAGTTGGGAATGACTAATGTCTTTTTTTGTTTTTTTTTCCTGTTACTGGGGCGCTAACTCAGGACCTTGCGCTTGCAAGGCAGGCACGAGGCAGACATGGTGACACTGAGTCAAATCCCCAACCCAGAAATAAGTAACATCTTGACAATAGTGTCTTCTTATCCATAAACATGGAATATTTATTTAGTTCATTGATTTCACCCATCAGAGTTTTACAGTGTTCTCATATAGATCTTGGACATATTTTGAAAACTTATACCTAAATATTTCAATTTGGGTGTAGTACTGAGTTTTTAATTTAAAATTTCACTTGTTCATTGCTTGTATACAGGAAAGCGACTGACTTTAGTGTATTACCTTTGCATCCTGCAACATTTTTAGCTCAAGGAATTTATTTGGTGATTGTTTTGGATTTTCTACAGACATTTATGTCACCTGTGGACAAAATTTTGTTTCTTTCTTCCCAATCTGCATGCTTTTAAAAAAATCTGTATACTTTTCTTCTCTTTCTTATTGCATTAGCTAGGACTTCCAGTATGACTTTGAAAAGGAGGGCTGAGAAAGGATATTCCTGTTTTATTCTTGATCTTGTGGGAAAGTTTAGTGTAATTTTTTACCATCGAGTATGATATTAACTAGATTTTTTGTAGACATTCTTTATCAAGTTGGGGAATTCTGCTTCTATTTTGCTGAGAGTCTTAATTTTGTTTTTTTGTGTGTTTTTTTTCATTGAGTTTATTGGTACATTTTAGATATACAGTATTGGGATCTTGTACCTTTACATGACAGGTCTTGGTTTTCATTTTTTATTACTGGGATCTTGTACCTTTGCATGACAGGTCTTGGTTCTCATTTTTTATTACTGGGATCTTGTACCTTTGCCTGACAGGTCTTGGTTCTCATTTTTTCCTCTTGTCCCTGCCCTCCCATCACCCGAGAGTCTTAATTTTGAATGAAAGTTGAATTTGTCAAATTCTTTTTCTGTATCTACTGATATAATCATGTGATTGTTCTCCTTTATCCTGCTTATGTGCTGAATTGTATTTACTTATTTTCACGTGTTGAACCAAACTTACACACCTAGTATCGGTCTCATTTAGTGATACAAACAAATTTATGAATTTGATTCAGTCAGCTAATAGTCCCTTGCTGGGGATTCAGCTTAGTGGTAAGTTCTGCCACCTGCTTTGCAAGTGCAAAGTCCAAAGTTTGATCCCTGGTACCAAAAAACCCCATTTATTTATTTATTTATTTATTTATTGGTACCAGGGATTGAACTCGGGTCCTTGTGCTTGCAAGGCAGGCCGCAGAACCACTGAGCTAAATCCCTGGCCCAAAAATAAATAAATAAATAAATAAATAAATAAATAAATAAATAAATAAATAAATAAAGGAAGGAAGGAAGGAAAGAAAGAACAAAGACATGCTTTCCCTTTTCCCATTTTTCTCCTCTGGCATTAGAGATTGAACCCAGGGTTGTTCTATCTTTGAGGTGTACCCCTTAGTCTTCCCCCCTTTTCTGAGACAGGGTTTTTCTAGGTTGCCTGGACTGACCTCGACCTTGTAACCCTCCTGCCCCTGGCTCCCAGGTACCAGGGATTACAGGGGTATGCCACTGCCCCTGCTTTCCTTTTCCCTTTGCCAGCCAAAGGTTGTGTGCTCTTGGCCATAACAACCACCATGCCCCTTGCCTTCATTCAACTTCTAGGGTGCCCAGGAGGTTAAGGGATGACTGTGGTGTTTTCTTGCCACCTCTGCAGTTACCTCAATAATTGTCCTCTGGATGGAGCTGCTTCCTGCAGCTTTGACAGGAGCTGGGGCTTGTGGACAGCTGTAATGTTCCCCCCACTCCAGGCTGCCTGGGTACTACAGCTGCCTCTCTGAGGAGTGGCCAGAGGACTGTGCCTGGCCAGGCAGAGACAAGAGTCAGACCAGAGGCAATTGCCGTTATCCCCAGGGTCCCCAAACCTTGTTGGGCATGATCAACACCGCCACCCGCTTTCCTAGAAAACATTGGAGGCAGCAGAAGTCAATAAGTCAGCCCTTTTCACGGAAACAGGGGTGTTGTCAATCAAACCACTGCTTCTCTGGAAGTCAGGCGGGGCTGTTACATGTCAGCCAAGCTGTCCTAGACACCCTCAGGATGCTTTGGGGAACTCTGCTCTGCCATGGCTGCATCAGGTGCTGGAAATTTTATTTCAGCATTGGAAGCTGCTGACCACCCACAGCCACCTCGGGTGACCTCCTCAGATAATTCTACACTTTGGAGGTGCCCAAACAGGTCCGCCAGATT